TTGAGCCATTTGACAAATGCTTGTATCACTATATTTGTACCCCAAACATAATACAAATATGATATTCTATTTCAGAAGAATGTAAAATTGGTTCCTTCTAATTAGTGGATTTTAGGTAAATTAGTGTAAAAATGAATTAGATTATCTAGTTGGCATGAAAATACAGATGAGTCACTGTATACCGACAGTTTACGAGACCGATGGCTCACCAGTGGTAGGGTAGGTGGCATTACCGGTGTCCTATAACTCTCAGGCAAGTTTGCAGAAGACCCGCCAGACCATCATTGTCGATCTCGTCAGCTAACCATCCATCTCAAGGGTTGCAGCCCAAGTTACCGGTTTTCTTTCTTTTGTTTTGCTATCCTTTTCCATATTTGAACGGCACATTCCAAAGATATCATTATTTAGAAAGCCGTCTCCAAATGCCTGACAGAACAACAACCTACTATATATTCTTCATTACTTTATTGTCAAATTCGTAACTAACCCTTTAGCACCCGTCTATTGAACACCATTTTTGTTTTGTTTCGCTTTCTCATGGAAATCTATATTAAAGAAATCTTTAGTTAGAGACCACCTTCATAATCCTACAACCACTTTTAAAAAAAATTCCTTTCCCTTGAACAGTCTTTATATACGGATGATACAGTTAAAATCTAAACTATTCAATCCCTTGTAAATTTTATGTTTTTGTGTGTGCGTGTCTTTCGTAACTCAAGAATGAAATGTGGACTGGTTGAATTAGGGCCTATGCTGAAAGCTTTAACATGTCACATTCTCAAGAAACATAAGTCGGGACAAATCAATTTATCACAGATTTAAAAAAAAATGACATAACTTGGTAAGCGTATGACTAATTTAGCTGTTAATTGTATGTCTGTAACTCACTTATATACAAAGCTGATGCTTGCAATGAAAGAAGGATACAGTACCACACATTTTCAGCAAAGGAAGGATGCAAAATAGTTTAATTTACCAAATTCATGATACACATATATCGAAGCTAAAGGGCGAGTCTCAAAAATTAGAAGTTGAAAATCACTGGAATATTAAACAGACCTTGAATTCATGTGAACAACAACTTTTTAAAAGGAACTCTTTTCTTGACAAGACACAAAATGATTAACAGAAACCTGGATAATACTTCCTGACAATATCACGATCTTTGAATTAATTTACAAGTCGGTATTGATGCTACATGTATTTATATTTTGTAATAACAGCACTTACAATAGAAAATAAAAATAAGTATTTTTATGTTATTTGAAAGAGAAAAGTCTGACATTTCCCCAATGAAACGGTGTATCTCCTTGGAAATTTAATATTTTCATTCATTTGAGATTTATTTAAAAAAAATAAAGCTGTAACATATTCGTTTTGAAGTGACTGTACCATAATACATGAATATCAATATAAAAGTCAACACGATGTGATTTCTCTATCAGCATTGAAGCATAATAATACAGCACACTTTTGGGGTCTCTCCTATCCAAAAGTGGGACTATCTTGGAAGTCTATTCTTTTTATCACTTTGATTTTATCAACATTGCAATATTTTTACCTGTGCATTACCTTTTGGAATTATACTCGTGTATGGCGATAAAAGCTTGACATAACAATTTTTCACCTAATCGATTGTTAACATGTTTACTCCATAACAGAATTGGCTGTTATCTCATTTAATAGTAAATTAACTTCCATTTCATGATCCTAAACAACTATATTCTTATATAATGACATGATGAAAAATTTATTGACAATAACACATCATACACTATAGGCTGCCAATATCTTCATTTCTTTACCTCATAGCTTTGCAAAGTTTACATGTACAATATAGTAATAGAGTATAAAAATAACTATTGTACTGGTTTCACTTTGTCATGGAACAACTTCATATTTCCAGGCATTAAGAAGGTTTAAAATGAGATGGAATAAACCTAATCTCATGTAATTATGCAAAAAGATGTTCAACTCAAAGCCGATTAAAAACAAAAAGTAGCACCAGAAGTCACTGACAAAAAAGGATTTTAAAAAAAGAAGAAAAAGATCAATAAACTGTTAAGCATCTCAATACTTTTTGTTGGTTACTATGATACAGTTTGTATTTACATTTCTACATGAATACGACACATGTAATATCGTCTTGCATTCTACAACTGAATTACTAATGTGAATTTTCTAATAAATCTTATTTATTATTATCTATATAAGGCTTCCAAGTGGTATAATAAATCAGTGTATTTAATATCTTTAGCGCAGTACCCACATGACAGATCAATATTGTTTTCGTATTGCTCTGTCATCCGGTAACTTCAACAATATTGCTTTATCATCAAGTCAAATTTTGTTATTTCGCTAGTCAGCCTGATATAGATAATAATAATAATATTGTATGGCTTCGTTTACGTGTGATGCAAGAATATATTGCTTAAGCTATGAAAATATTTGGACTCGTCTTCGACTCATCCAATATTGTCATAACTCAAGCAATATATTTCTGTATCACACTCAAAGCCATCCGATATTATATACACATTGTCTTCCTTTCCCAAACATAATTCATATACCGGTAGTATTTTTTGCATAAGAAAATCAATACAAGCCATGTGACCTGTTGATTTTGTATGTGTACATGAACATTGTGTTATATGCACTCAAACTGCATTGAGTTTGATTTACTTTTTCAAATGTTCTTTATTCTCCTTGAGTAGAGAAAGCATGAGCAATTTTCCATGTTTCAGATCAATTGATCATTTTCAGAATGCTTTGCAAATATCAAAGTATTCAACATTTATGTTCTTCCTAGTAATCTGCCATACTTCAGAGCATGAATGTGTTATCAGTGATCATTATGTCATTACAATTAACAACACAATTGATCCTATTTGACTGACATCATGTGACACAGTGATTTATCAATATATCAAATGCATTTCAAGCAACAACTGAGGGGGGTATTTGTATTGTGCTCCTCTCCTTCTGGCAAAGATGTGATCTATCAATTTAAATTTAATGAAACTAACTCTAGTAAGATAACAATCATACTACCTACAAACCCAGTGATATGCATAGAATTTTTCATTTTTGTTTACAGTACTGGTTCAGCTTATACCCTCACTTGCTGAAACCTTCCTTAATGACATGTAATAAACTTGATTCAGACTTGTACAAAATTTAGTGTTGTCATAAATAATTAGATTTACACACCAGAAGCAAATTTGAACCTGTTGATTTTAATGCTTTGTCAAAAACATTGAATCATTAGTAAACTAGATGGAATTTTGACTGCGCGCAGTCGAAAATGATGCCTCCGCCATAGAGCAATTTAAACAAGTTTGGAGTTTAAATCTCCAGTGGTTCTTGAGATATCATGATAACAATCTCAATGTATGGAATTTCATAAGTTGACCTCTGTGACCCTTGACCTTTGACCTACGTGCTCCAAAATCTAATCAGATCGTCTTCCTATGGTGATACACACTATCACTAAGTTTGAAGTTTAAATCTCAAATGGTTCTTGAGATATCGCGCTAACAAACTCAATACAAGGAATTTCATAAGTTGACCTCTGTGACCTGTGACCTTTGACCTACGTACTCCAAAATCTAATCAGATCGTCTTCCTATGGTGATAAATACTATTCCAGAATCTTAAGTTTAAATCTTAAATGGTTCTTGAGATATTGTGATAACGGTCAAACGGGACGGACGTACGGACGTACGGACGGACAACCCGAAAACATGATGCCTCCGGCACCACCTTCGGTGGCGGAGGCATAAAAATTAAGCAATCATTTACACCCTAAAGCCAAAGCAAAGGCTTAACTTCAATGTTTGAGTGACCCGATTTATTTCATTTTGGAGCTAAAATATGACCATCACATTCTGAATAATTTGGATGATAGACGAGCAATACAAACCATATTTCATGGTTCAACTTGATTGGAAGGTTACTGGTAATCACATAGTTTGAATGATTTCACCATATAGGAAATGGCAAAGATCAAGTAGCACTTATTAAGAACTCGGCAACAACAAAAATGTTTACAGTGTACCAATCACTAAAACATATTTTGCTCTTGATGTAAGGGGTTCAATGTGTGGCTATAATGTATTAAAAAAATATGAGCTTCAAATATTACTTCTATTATTAAAGAGATATTGCAAGTTAAATACAACAGTATTTCGTTTTCTTGAGTAGACTACCAGTAGTAAACGCACACGTACGTACTTGCATGAATAGGGCTTGCACGGAACTAAGTCGGATTTAGGTTCCGTGCAAGCCCTGCATGAGGGATTTAATGTTACCCTTTATTTTTGTCATACTCCTTAATCGTTTACCTATATAATGCCTGGTAAATATTTTTGGTTGATTTTATTTACCGGTATACATTCTAGCTTTACACTACACAGATCATTTTTTTTCGGATGATTGGTACACTTAAAATATCTCACCCATTTCTTTAAACCATGTTTAAAAATCCAGGTCTCAGACTGGCTACTTCCGAGGTAGCGGGTAAGTGGCTATGATAAAAAGAATGAACATAATATATTTCAAAGTAAAACAAATGTCCAGAATGCAGAAACTATTCTACTCTAGCTGCCTAAAAATAAAGCATTATAAAATAACATTAAGAGACTGACAAATGTACATGTAATAACGGGTAGTAATTGTTCTATACATTTGGTCCATGAAGGAATATTATGGGGGGAAAAGTCAACATAAACACCCCCCAAACAACCCATTCCCCACCGCCCATAATAATCCCCTGCCCCCCCCCCCAAAAAAAAAAAGAGATTTACCCTACAGCTCTATTACAAACTTACAAACACAATGAATCAGTGACAAATCAGCCAAGAGGAAAGTCTAAGAAGCACCAATCCAGGATAAACTAAAGCCATTGCATTTGGACAGTCCTAGACATGATCAATAAAGAACAAAGTAACAGGACATATTCTTACAATTCGAATCATGTAATAAATGTGGCAAGACAAGTAATCAATATATAATTCAACGCAATGAGTTTGATTACAGCTTTAAGGAATTTTGTAAATGAAGTCTTTCCCAAGTGTGGTCATTCTACATGTATATTACTAGTAGAATAAAGAAGATTGTGATTTTTTAAAGAGTTCAAGCGAAGTGAAATTTCACCAGCTAAAATTTACATGTACATCTGGTAAAAAAAAAGAACAAGTAATCTAAAAATGTATTGGTTAGATCTAAACTGATGCAACATTCCTGCATAATATAATAAATGTACATTTTGCCATGTAAGAGTATGCTCATACATAATACAATGTTGGTTAAAACAGTGTGGAGTAGAGTACAGCCTACTCAATGTCAAACACTCGGCAATGTGGCAAAGTCGCTGTGACTTGGTTAAAATGTCTTTACTTCGCTAATTGAGTGTTAAGATTTACTGTGGGCACTGATTGTTGTGTCACAGCTGAGTTTACAGATGACACCATATTTGATGAGGCAATTCCAGTGACAGGAGGCAGTATGGAGTTTAGCTCTGAAGCAGGTGCTGTAATTTTGTTGATCGACAGGGAGTTGATACCAACCTGGGTTGCCTGTTGGTGCGCTTCAGTCTTAATACCACACTCTAGTTTTTGGATCTTTTGAGAGACCATCTCCATTGCACCAGGGGTCATGTAACCCTTACTGAGTAGGTGCATAAGAGGCCTCACTTCGGATTTAGATTTAATCCCATTTAACATGTCTGTGTTCACCTCGCTGGGTCCAATACGAGGCATCTCTGGGTGGGAACGCACCCGGTCATATGCTCCCCGGGATGTGATATGAAAGAGAAGCTCACAAGATCGCTGCTCAATCTTTTCAAGTTGTTTCTCCATGCGCTTGCGTCTCTTGCGGTTGTTCTCCTTTCTCCTCCTCCACAAGCGCCTACGATCTGCCAACTCTGCAGCTTCTGCTGTGAAGCTTGTCTGAAGGTGGGAGAAGGTCTGGTTGACACTTGCCAGGGTAGATAACACCTCATTGTACATCTGATCAGTCCTGTCAAACAGCTGTTCTATGTAGGCTAGCTCATTCTGCCACACTATAACGCTGTTATCGCTGGATGTCAGCAAGGTGCCCTTTTTGTGTAGCAGCTGCTGCCGTACACTGGCAATGCGGGTTGCCATGTTCTCAAGCTCTTTGGACGTGGCTTCACATCGCTTCACATCCTCACTTTTACATTTGATGGGGACACTGCGGTAGCGAGCAACATTCTGTGCAACCCCACTGTTTGGATTAATGAGCAAGTTATGTACTCTAGTCTCCAGGTTACCTATGTAGCTGTGGGTATCCCACCTCCACTTCTGTTGCTCTAACAGGTAGCCATGAAATTCCTTCTTGGAAGCAAACTTGTTGAAGTCACTGTTATACAGTTGCATGGCTACGTCGTTGTAGAAAAGCTGTCGCTCACTTTGTGGATTCTGATGTAAAAACTCGTTGGGGCACTTTTTCATTTGGGACATTTTTTGGGAATTGCTGTTGTTGAGTAATTGGCCTAAGTTACCTGCAGAGAGAGAGGAACAAAAAAGGAAAATAAAACAAATGTTACGCCATTTTCTTTACACTTTAATTGCTCAATTGTTAAAAATGAGATGTCTTTACATGATAAAAATTTGCATCATATAATGCGATGATTAGGTTCATGTGAATGTTTCTCATTCAACTTATGCCCTGATGCTCCAGAATGACAGCACCATAAGCACTATCACAGAATAGCATGCACAAAACGTGCTGATGTTTATTGATTCATGTGGTCCCTTGAGACGGGTGTAACTTTAAATCAGATTAGTAAACTTCCCTGAAAATGATAAGAGGTACATTTAATTCAGGGTCACCAAAAATTCACACATCAGACCAGATGTCTGCTGTTCCTCTATTTGGGGGACATCCCTTGCTCTCTGGAGTATTGAATCAAATCTTCAGATGCACTTTTAATCTTACTCAATAGGCCTGTTTTCATCAGCTCGAGATTGCCAAATATCCCGCTATTTCAACTATCCTGATCGCAAATCATCCAGTTAATTTGCATCTCCATCAGCCCAAAGTTATAATTAGTGGGATATATGGTCAAGATAATCATCCCAAGATATCTTGGGCTAGTTTGCAAAATATCCCGCTATTTGTCCGGTGCGTCTTAACCAGCCCGAAGACTCGCACTATACGCAAACGCTGAGCAAAATATCTTGAGCTTCAAGTTTCGAGGTCGAGTCGATGAAGACGCGATTTGTAACTTCAGGATTATTTCCCAAATGCATTAGTGGGACAACTTAACAAGACTACAAAAAAAAAATTCCAATGCTTTATAGCTTGATATCTGTCAAAGCAAGCAATGTCCTCATATCTCCAAATGTATTGTCTATGATGACTAACATTTAAAAATTAAAATAAATAAAAATGGGTAACAGTGTAATAGATTCCCCATGGGGCCCACCCAAATATCAGATGCAACTTTTGCATTCTCATGTGGGAGCACATTAAAACTCACCCTGTAAGTTGTGATGAGGAATACTTGGCATGGACACATTGGGCATCGAAACACTGGGCATGGATGCGTTGGGCATGGAGACATTGGGCATAGACACACTCGGCATAGAGACACTAGGCAGAGACACATTGGGCATGACGGGTAGGCTAGGCACGTTGAGTGGAGGATAGGGCAAGCCAGTTGCTAGGATGTTTGGTTTGACCTCCTGTGTAGGAGGTTTATTACTGATCATGGGCTTGATGTCTGTGATGAGCCCTGTCTGGGGCAGGTTGAGAGCGGGGTGTACCTGGTTCAGCAGGCAGTGGGAAAGGGGCTGGGGCAGAGTGGACATACCTCACTCCTCACTCACCTCTGTTGGATCCTCGTCAAGTCACTCTGGAGTTGCAAAAGAAACAAGCAAGATTGAAAAGTTTTAAATTGATAATAATTGTATAATTATTACATCTTGGCAGGGTTACATAATGACTGAAGATCTTTAGGATACTGTAAATGCCAAGTTGCCAACATTCAAAATACACAGGGGTGTGAGGAGCTGTCAAATTGCCCCTGAAGACTTCAAGCCTCTCAATTTTCAATTGAAGTCATATATTTTATTTTTTCTTAAAATTAATAATGGGGGGGGGGGGGAGGGGGGTCAATTTAAAAACAGCATCTTCTGAAAAATACAATATCTATAGGGCTATTATGTGGCAATAAATTAAAAAAATTCACATGGCCTTGGAGAAACATAACTTGGGTTTCAAGTTGCAGAGGGAGACTGTTCCTTCACATCTTAAATGTCACACAACATTGATACAACAATTCAAATATATGGCTACAACTTGTTATTCATTTTCCAATCAACTGAACTGCAAATCATTATCATTGTGATAAAAATTACATGTACTTCTTCTTCCCTCTCTTTCAGCATCATTATCATCATCAATACTGTCATCATCATCATCATCAAATGCCGTTAACTTGTTTGAATATACTTTATAATCAATACTTGATATACAATGAAGCTCAGTGTACTCACAAGGCTCTATTTTGTTCTTCCTCAGATAACAATTTAGCCCTTAGGATAACTTTACTAATTGACAATTTGAAATGTAGTAATGTACCCCCAACAGATTATTTGAAAAAAGAAAAATTTGGGGACCAAACTTGCTTTCATTGAATTTAATCATTGATTTTGAAAGTGAATCATAGGCAAATCGTAAATTGAGAGAGAATTCAGAAAGAGAAAGAGAGAGGGAGAGAGAGGGTTAATTCTTAAATAATATTCTGTCTATTCTGTTCCAACTGACATCTAAATGTACATGTACATGTACGATATGACTGTCATGTCATTATTTGATTTTGATCACATTTTTTTTCTAGCTTCAAGAGCTAGTAAATCTTAAATTAGATGTTCTAAAATGATTTTTTTTTTAGTTCTGCTTTCCATAATTTTCCAAAAGCTTAAATTCAAAGTGGACATTTGTCTCAGACTAACCCCTTTCTTTCTACCTGATACAAAGTCAACAAAATCACCTATCCCTTTGGAAGTCAGTATTATCCCATTGTAATGCATACTAGAGCATACATTAATTATGTGTATTGCTCTGAGCAGGCAGGCTTACATGTACATGCACTGCACAAGTCTGAAGTGAAATCACAGCGGTAATTTTGTCCAGAGGATATATAGAGGCTGCTATTTTCAGCTATGCGTGGGGGGCTTGATAGGGGGTAGGGTCAAATTCTGCTCCCAGACTCTGGCAAAAATGGCAGGGGTGCTATGTGTGTGGATTAAATTTCAAATGAATCCAAGCATACTGCTGTTTGAGTAGGAACATATCGTTTGAATGAACTGCATTGGAGGAAAATGTTGGGGGACTTTGCACACATACAGTTTCCTGAATGAGGCGCATGATTTATGGATCTATATATATATAGAATGGTTAAATTCCAACCGCACCAATATGTAATGATTCAAAACTATGTAGATCCTGTAGATTGATGCATATAAATAGCCACAAGGTCTGATTTATCCATGACAGAGAGTGTCAAACATAATGAACAAAAGGTCTGGTGTTCATTGGATATGTCATTCTGGCACATTTGAGCTTTGGATCCCCCTTTTCTCCTCACATTAGAAAATACACTGCATTCAAACATACTGCTTCACAATTAGGATACAGTTTTGAAAGAAATTACATTAAAAATATATATTATTGCAGGTGATTTATGATTAATGAATTTAGAGACTTAATACATGTGTGATTCTCATTGAAACTATTTTTATAAGAAATTATGATGATTATCGAAAGTTATAACATAATAATAACAATAGGTAATTGTAATAATGATGATAACAATGTATCTAATGTGCAGTAGCGTACGCAGTTTTTTCAAGGGGAGGGTTTTCAAATCGGGCCCAAAATTTCGCAACGACTCAGCCAGCCGCTAAATAAGCGGGGGGGGGGGGGGGGGGGGGGGGGGGTAAGAGGACACTTTTTTTTGGGGGGGGGGGTCTTGAAATTTAAAAATTTGACATTTTGTCCAGTGGGGGGGGGGGGGTAAGGTCACCTTTTTAAGGTTACCCATTGGCAATTTTTTTTTTTTAATTAAAAAAAAAAAAAAAAAAAATCAAAAGGGGAGGGTTTTCCAAAATAACATGTATACAAAAAACATACACATAAAAAAAACTCGAGGGGGGGGGGGGGGGGGTTTAACCCCAAAACCACCCCCTGCGTACGCGCCTGCTAATGTGTATAGCGCAATTTCCATGCACATGTTCAATATGACATTCTTTTTTCTCCTGTGCCACACTCAAATACATGTATATTGTAATAAGAGAATTTAGCAGTTAATGGGTACAGAAATACTCCATTTCCATGGAATTGTACAAAGATATTACATGTTCAGTATATACAATTAATACATGTATGTACATGTTAATCACCTTTAAAGGAAAATGCAGCCTTAAGAACAATTTTAACTCTAAAAGAGAGCAGTAAAATCGGAGGAGACCGGAGAAAGTTTGAATGACAATCAGACACAAAATAAGAACGATATCATTTTTTTGGAAATTGTAATCACTATACATGTACATGCACGTTTATGGGAATTTCAAACTGGCTGACTTGGTAACTTTTAAACTGTGATGTAGTGATGGACAACTTTCACATTTGTTTTAACACACAAAACTATTAAAGTGTTAATGCTTTTGAAAATTATAACTCGGGAGGTTCATTTCTTTTTGGAGGACCTACATGTACATGTATGATAATATGCTATACATTAATATATTTTGGGTAGTGCCGAAGGGATAAGGCACTTAGGAGAAAACATAAATTAACAATATTTTCATGACAAACAGAAGATCTGTCTGTGCAGGTGCTGTGCCTACCTCCATGAAATGGCAAATTTGAGGTTTGCAAAGATTTAGTGATCTCATACATGTATGTCAAACAGTCATAACTTTCTTCTTAACGGTCTGATGTATCATGTTCGCAGACTTTCTCTATTCTGTTCATCTTATTTTCTGCTCTTTAACCCAATGAACTTATTCAAAAGGTTGGATTGCCATGTCAGTTGACATACATGTACACTTAAATATGATAATGCTGGAATGTACATAAAGTCTTTTCATCTTAATAACACACTCTTCTTCTTTCTAAGTACGTATTTTACATCATTAAAGAAAGAATACTTTTAATGACGACTGTGTTTGCAGCAATACCCTTCCATGAAATGCAAATATGTCATGTAATGATTCAATCTAATCTGAATACTTAACAAAACTTTCACAAATCTTGAATGCTTGCTAATTCACAAAACGTTCTTAATGGTAGTTAAACATTATTGCTGCAGGTACATGTACATTATGCTGTTTAAAAGATAAGTTGCAATAAATTAATTTCATACCGTTACATTATTACACCTAATATGTAAAAAAAGAATATGTAAAAAAGAATATATATTTTACAAACGATACTCACAAGTCACAACAAGCTTTTACATTGTATCATCCACACAGCAAAGTTCCATTCAATTTCTGTGGCACTGTGAATTTATCTTCCTTTTCCCACACTGAGTCAGTCCTAAGCTACAGACAATGCAGAATTGTGCTGCTTGTTCTCAGCCAACAAGAGACTTGAATAAAGAGCTGTCTACAAAATCTGTGGCATATAAAATCCTGGTAGGGGTCCTTTTTGTTGGTGGAGCCCAATCCCCAGCAAGCAGAGGGCGAGTCACTGCATACTCATGAGGGCAAGAGGGCATTCTGTGGGGGGTAAGCTGGGGGGCCTTGAATTTCCATTAGTTGCAAACAGGGAGGGGTCAAAGAGCAGCGTGGCTCAGGCTCTATGAAAGATTCAATCAATGTTTTCCCTTGATGGCGAAGCATTTATAAACATTTCTCAAAATGTGATGCATGTTGCGTGGGAAGGAAGCGTGAATATATTTCATTATTCCCTGCTGGTTTTCAAGACTTAAAAAAAGAGAAAACTGTGATCTATTTATCCCAGGAATCTGATGAAGTAAAATGCATGAAGAGCATGTCTTTATCTATGCAGCTGCATACAGTACATGACATGTACATGATATTAAAATAAAAGAAAGCAACATTAATAAAGAATTTAAAATGAATATACTACAAGTTACATCAAAAGCACCGTGATACATGTAGCATACATTTCTAAAATATAAAAAATGTACTTTCTAAAATACATGTGTGTTTATCACTTTAAGACGAGACAAATATTTTTTTTAAATAACATAAGCAATGCATTTACAGAAAATTGAGCTTTTCAGAGTTATAAAGAACAAGTTTTTACTTTCATACATATACACTGCAAATGTACTTTTACTTACTGCTTGTGCTTGAAAGAGCGCAAATTTAATTCCGCAAAATAAAAACCGTAACTATGCTACAAGTGCTACATACCGGTACTCATACATTTTCCTGTACATGCTGCATATCCGTAACTAACCCTGTAACCAACCATCTCGGATCCTTGGCCGATTGTTGGCCGATCAGATGAAATTGGATAATAAATTCTGATCACCGATCACCGAAAATGATTGGGAAAAAAATTGGTAGAATTGGTAGAAATGCCAAAAATTTTCAATTTTGGGGCTACCAAATGCTAAAAAAGCATGCATACTTGCGTAGTTGGGATTATTTTGTCATTTGGAGTTGTTGTAGACCATTTTTGTTGATATTTAGTGCCTTTTCATGACTTTGAAATTAACATTATTAGTCTAAGAGAAGAGGCAAAACATGCGAGCCACCATCTTGGATTATAATGTAGGCACACATTTTTTTGTCCATCGTCAATAAAATCCAAACTGGCAGCTTGCATGTTTTGTCTCTATTCTTTATTAGACTAATATTATCAATTTCAAAGTCATGAAAAGGCACTTAATATCAACAAACATGGTCTACAATAACTCTAAATGACAAAATAATCCCAGCTATGCATGTTTTTTTTTAGCATTTGATAGCCCCAAGCTTGAAAATTTTACGCATTAAAAAAAAGATCATAATTTTTGCCGATACCAATCAAAGGTGCGAGGGTGTCGCTCTGATCTTCCGATCCGATTAAAGCCCCAACTTACAGTGTTATCCATAACAATGATAGGTATATTGTATACCTTTATAATGCACTGTATACACAAACAAATTAAACAATCAATCAAATTCAAAGCTTTTCAATTTCTTTCATTTTTGTTGATAAACAGCAAAATATGCAAGTTGTACATGTACACACTTCACTAATATTATTGATGGGGATACAGATAGCCTGTGAGGGAAAACCAATCTTGATAGAGCTAGTAGGACTTCTCTAGAAGAAAGCAGAAAAGTCATAGAAGCATGCTGCAATTGCAGGACAATCAACCCCTTATAATAAGTTCATTTGAATTGAAAGCAGAAAAATCACGGAAACAGAATGGCAAAAGTTGGTAATAATTCGGACAAATAAGAAAGTTACCAATGTTTCGCATCACTACAGCTACATACATGTACATGTACTGTATGTATGTACGTGAAACTCAAATTGGTAATATGAATTTGAGTGATGTATTAGTCTCCTGTTTGTTGTGTACAAGAATATCACTAGGGTAACTCCCAAGTGCCTTCACCCTTGAGGCAATACAATGGAGATTATATTATTAGAGGTCCTCTAAAAGAAAAGACTATCCCGAATCATACATCATTGGAAAATTGAAATTTTAGTCATTCTGTGAGTTGCAGCAAATGGGAAAGTTGTCTGTCATCGCATATAGACATCATTGATTCAGCCAATATGAAGAACCAATACCTCACCTCAAGAAAGTACTTTAGTTATTCTGAAAGATCTTTTGTATTCTTGCCCATTAATTTTCTTGACCACGCGATGTACTTATATAATATTGGATGGCTTTGAGTGTGATACAAGTAAATATTGTCACACAAAAACAAAGCCATATAATATTATTATAATTATCTATATGAGGCTGACTAGCGAAATAACAAAATTTGATTTACCTTGGTAAATATGGCTTTGTTTTTCATAGTTTTGTGTGATATTGTTTATGTAGCGCACGGTGCGTGCATTATATGTACACGTAAAACAATGTGTGCTGCCAAGAGTTTGGTTGTAATAATTGTTCCTCATAAACCAAGGGGAAATCGTTTCATCCGTTTCCAGACCAACACAATCGCAATGAAATATTCAAGCTATACAATGTAGCAGCTCGGAAGGTGGAATTTTTTTTGAGAATAAGTAAAAGTATGACAGGAAAAATGATGTGATCTGATCATTTTACAGTTTACAGCACAGAAACTTACGTACGCAGTAGCGGTCAAATCCATTTGATACGTCACAGAATAGGCCGTGCGCAAACACAATGGCGACGTACTGAAAATTCTCAGAACCACAAAACATGTACAGTAGTTTGAGGTTAATTCCCCTTTAATGAATTAAAAAGCTCTTCTTAATTCCCCTTTAATGAATCAAAAAGCTTTTCCAACTAACGGTATAGCTTGGTGCATGATACATGTACAAGTTTGCCTGGTACGTCACATTATCGGGAAAATGGCTGCGCCCATCTCATGATAAAAGGCATAACGTTACAAGAATATCTTCAAGTTCATTTATTCATTTCTCTTGTTTATTTATGTAGAGGCAGGAATAAATCTCATATTTCAGCACACCTACATTTATTCTTGCATGTTGCATGGCCTTTAGCAATATTGTTTATCTCTAAATGTGAATATATGTATAGAATCACATTGTATTTTCATGGGCAGGGGGGGGGGGGGGGGGACCTGTCCCTCTCAGGCTGATAGAGCATCAAAATATTCTACCTCTTTCAATCTGCACTTCAAGACATGAGGTCATCATAAGAATGTACCCCAAAACTAAGTGTGCCAACTCTACATCAAGCTCTGATGAGTCTGTCTCTAATATAATAATAATAATAATAATAATAGCCTAATAATCCACTCAAAATTTTATTAAACCGAAATGGAAATGGAAAGATGTGAAGATGAATAGTGATACTGAATGTTTAATGTACACTGACGATTTTACACACAAGTAATACATTTAAAAACTTGAGATCAAACATGCATTGTCCATTTTGGTTAGCTGTAGCAAGTCAAAAACTATATCAAGGTTAGAGCTGCAACATGAGTTAAACTTCAAGAGCCAAGTTTATTTCTTGACCCCCTGTTACTCACTTATAGACCATTTCTTATGAATGTTAATATTCATGTAATATAATTCTACATAAACATGCACACATCATGTTCTTAGAATGAAAGCACTATGGCAATCCTACCTTTCTAATCAAGTTGATTTGAAGGAATACATACAAATCGGAGAAACAAATTTGGGGGAAATGCATTATGCAGCATATAAGTTAAAATCAGTATAACAGACTAAAAGTTGTAAATGGGATAAGATTCAAATTGACAAATTGGCCAAATCCCTGAGATTTAAGGTCAGTGATCTCTTGATTCTCTTCCATTATCTTTTTTCTTATTCTCATTCAAATTCAAATAATCTAATTAAAAAATAAGTTGAATTTTCTTTTAGGAGAACAACTGCAACAACAACTATTCATTTAAACTTTCACTAATGTTAATTATCGCTCATAACTCTTTAACTTAATTCTTTGACAAATCAGCAACATTTCAGAGATGTAGTGTTACTGATCTCTTCCATTTGTTAATATATATATATATATATATATATATATATATATATATATATATATATATATATATGTATGTATTCTTTTTTTTATATTTCAAATTAAAAAAATCCAATTCAAGAATAGGTTGAATCTTCTTTTAGGAGAACAACTCCAACAACAACTTTCCAATTGAATATTCACTAAATGACACTAATGTTTTATTATCACTCATACATGTAACTCTATATCTTCAAACTTTTACAAACTGTTTTTCTGATTTTATATTGAATTTGGATGTCAAAACCAACCTAACAATTGATTCTGACTGAAAAGATGGCCTGATATTGGATTTAAAATCACAAGTGACCAAAACGACCATATTTTATTGATGGGGGTCAATTTGACCATTATTTTTTCTAGCATCAGGGCAGGTTTTTGACATAGAACAAACTCATCAAATCTTCTTTGCTGATAAAAACGATTGGAAAAATTACAACTGGCCAAAAGCGAACATAATGGTTAGTTTGGGCCAAACGGTCAATATTAGACAATTTTTTTGATCGGCGCATAATTACCCATGTTAAGGTATTCAAATCTTCGCCATTAAAAACTTTGATTAAATCCCCTCATCTCCTAAACTAGGATAACAAAGCCTAGCAACAGCTGACAAAATGTTTACTTTTTCCCATGATGCATCACATGAAATTGACTGAACACTGGTGTCGCTAGATGGCGTTGTGGATTGTGAATCCAATATATTCATGCATTTATCTATTTTTATTTTTTATTTTTCTTACTACTTGGAAAGTTGGCCCTTTCTTACAAATTATCCTAATCCAGTTCACATCCTGCAATCAATCACAAAGTTACAAAAGCCTACATGTAGATGATGATTATTTTCAGACTTAGTTTCAATGGTTATCAAACTCAAGTTTTGATGCTGCTGATTCAAATCAATTACAAAGAACTCAACTTGACTCAACCATACCGACAGTAGGGTGGGGTGCGCTTGCGTACTTGCATGAAGTTAGCGAATGTAATCTCAGATCCTCATTAAATTCATGCAAGTAATTCACATTATGAATTGATGATGATCATTATTGACGCTAACTTCACGCACGCGCGCTACTGTAGGTATGCACTTGTATTGTGCAGTGGTTTGTCGTGAAACCTGTGAGAAAGTGTATACTAATGTCTTTGTTTCTGGGAAAAATACTCCAAAAAAGATAAGAAAATTGACACGAAACAGGTAAGAAAGATAACAACTTTTAAATCATGACCATCATTTGAACAATTGTGGAAGATTTCGATGATTTTTGTTGTGTTATAGTTGGGTATCTCCACGCCAGAGTCACAGGTTCAAATGGTCACAGTTGTGAACAAGCGCCCTACTTTGTTGCGGATACGAATTACGATATACGCGTACTCTCATCATCTGACATCTATGACTCTGCCGAGACGTTTGGCTTAACCATGTTAACGGAATTCCTCTCCAGTCTTGGAGTTAGAGGAGAGCGTCAACAATAATTTATATGTCAAACTGCTTAAAACATTTGAATCTTTCTGTCTACTACTTTACTATTAAAGTGTAACATGGCATGCCATTGGACTGTGGCGAGCGAGCGAGCGATGCGCCCTGGATCTTGATTGATCAAGCGACCGTAACCATTTGGCATTTCGCCTTCTTCGCCTGCAATGAACGATCATGATTATCCCCCTCATGATCCGTGTACACATGCACCGGGAACTTGTCAGGAGTATGCACACCGGTAGCGGGTACGATCTCCTGCATAAAATCAGAAATATCACTCATATTACAAGCGAGTTGCATGCTTTTATGTACATTTTCTCTCAATCCACATACACTCATAGCACCAAAAATAAGTTCTACTTACAAAAAATGAGTAAATTCGGGCCCGCTATCCTTGATCAATAGCAAAATTATGCCCCGAAAATCAGTAAATTCAGTAGTTATACGAGCGGATGATGTCCTCCGGAATCACTCAGTCGCTGATTGGTCGTTGAAAAGTTCGCTGAGGTCAGACTGGGCCCGTGACCTATTTTCAAGTCAATATTGTTTAACAATAATTTTCAATATTTTTGTATCTATTTCATGAATCATAATTCACTCTAAACATTCAGAAACTCTAGTAGGATTCAAAATTTGTATAAGTCTATCATACAATCATTTTTTTTGTATTCCTGAAAATTGTATTAAGATAAATTAGTGAACATTTGATTTGTGTAAATTGTAAAAAAAAAAATTATTTTTATTTAAATAGTATATTAATCCGGATATTAATTCTTCAGGCATAAATTTGAAATACACAAGTCTGTAACATTTATATGATGAAGACATTTTTTAAAGAGCAATCTAATCCTTGTAATAAGTTTATTTGTATGAAAGCAGTAAAATAACAAGAACAGAATGGCAAAAGTTTGAAATGTATCAGACCAATTAATAAGGAAGTTATGAATGTTTGAAATATGAGATCACTACACTACATCACATTGACATTACTGCTTCAGCCTTTTTGAAGTGCCCATACGTATGTATAGTGATTATAACTTTCAAAAATGCATACCGGTAACTTTCTTATATTTAGTCAGATTTAATTAAAACTTTCATCACGGTTTGCTTCTCAGATTTTTCTGCTTTTGTTTAGAGTAGCACACTTGAAATGTACACTTTCATTTTCAGTTATCCTTTAATTTTCTTTTTTTTTCTTTAACCCCCCCCCCTAACTGCCAGTCTGTTTACTGCACCCCCTACCAACATCAAAGGGTGCTCTACATTTTGTGCTCTTTTTTATTCATTATTTCAGGTTTATCCTTTTTTGTGAATCAGCATGCATGTTTAAAGCCCCACTGCACTACTTATAGCTACTTGCGCCTTCTATAGCAAACAAAGCGGTGACCATAGGTCCCCAATAATCCCCTTTTTCTTATGTTAATTGAGAGCTGATTTGATGAGATAACCACCTGTCAGTAACCATGCCCTCTGGTCAAGCTAGCTAGTGCAGAGGGGCTTTAAAGCATAATCTAAAAGTTTAGAACATCAAAATATACCAATTATATATCTAAATATTATCACCATTAATCTGTGATTCATATTGATGTTGTTTTGCATTACAGAAATTCATTTTGACTTTTGAAAGAAACAATCAAACTTCATTTTAATAATAGGCTTTTGTATACGGGCCTAGTATAGACACATTTCTGGTCAAATAAAATCTATTTGCATTGTCTGTCTTAAAAAACATAAATAAGGCCTAAAAGAAAAATGTATTTCCGGTGTATTGCCCTTTAGGTGCCAAAACATGGGTCGGTCGGTCAGAATTTTTTGCTCCCTGTATGAGTTGATATTTTTCAGTTTTGAATGCTTTAAATACATTTTGTTCTAAAAAAACATTTAATTTTTTGGCCGACCATAGATTTTTGGGTCGGTCTCAAAGGGCAATACAACATCTCTTTTTTTAGGCCTAACTAATAGATAAATTCAAAACCAACTGGCCGAATTGTATATTTGGCCAGGTGGTCTTGAGTTTTCACAAAACACATTTAATTTAATTCACTGGCCTATAAATTAACACACATTTCTGATCCAATAAATCTATTTGCATTGTCTGTCTTAAAAAACCTAAATAACTATTGAAGGCTTCCCACTATAATTAATAGATAAATTCAAAACCAACTGGCCGAATTGTTTATTTGGCCAGGTGGTCTTGAATTTTTCAAAAAACACAATTAACTAATTTCTTTCACTGGGGAAAACCCCGAAAAAGATTGTATCAAGACTATACCATATCCTCGGTCGGCAATATGCATTTGCATTGCATGTACTGTGCGTGTATTGGGTATGCGCCTATATTGCAAGGAAAGGAATTAACCGTAAATCAGTCAGTGGTCGTACAGAAAAGGTCAACTGCTAAGCACAAAATTGTCTGCAGTTTACACCAGAAATGGCGGGTAAAACCGCCCCAGGTTCATCCCTTCGACTAGAATGGGTGTATGGATATAGAGGACATCAATGTCGAAATAATCTTTTCTACACCGCTTCTAAAGACGTGGTATATTTTGTGGCGGGAGTGGGAGTGGTTTACAATTCGAGGGAACACACTCAGAAATTCTTCTTGGCACACGATGATGACATTGTCAGGTAAGCCATTCGAATTCAAGTTCAAAAACAGCTTCTAAGTTACAGTCCATTCAGTTTAACGGCATTATCACAAAACTTTTGATTTTGATCAAACTGTTATTAGTAGCACATAATTGATCATAGTCCAGTTAAAATATCTTCTTGGATGATGCTGGATCATGGATGTGAAGTGGGGGAAGGGGGAGGGAGGGGGGTTCATGCACAATGATGTAGTTGTCATTCGGGGTTGTATGAAGTCAGGGCTGTCAACCCTCCCGCATTTGGAGGGAGTCTCACGCCACCACGCTCATTCTCCCGCCGTCCCACCAGCTCGTAGCAGGAGACTCCCGCAATTTCCCGGTTTATGAAAAAACCTCCCGCCAAACGTGTAAAATTAACCAGTGTACTTGTATCATTTGGATTTTTTTAGGTCTAGTGAGCACTTCAATTTTTTTTTCTTTCTTACTCAACACCCCTTCCTTGTTGAGCAAAAAAAAATTGCATATGATCTCCCTCGAAGCAGTTTCCCAAAGTTGATAGCCCTGATGAAGTTGGTCTGCTATCTCAACTTAAAATGTATAGAAATCTTGCAGAATAGGGGAATAAAATATCTTGCAATGCACTCATAAGAGTCATAGGAGGATTAGGATACTATACATTGTAGTTTGTACACGCTATTGCTGTGACTATCGCTGTGAATCAATATTTTGTTTATAGTTCCTAATGCACTCTTACTTAAATATTACATTTATATTGACTGGGCTTGAGGGGTACATCAGAAATATTGACTAAGCTAAGATCATATTGCCCCGAGTCGAAGACGAGGGCAATAGGGTCTTAGCGCGGTCAATATGTCTTATGTACCCCAAAAGAAGCCCTGTCAATATAATTGTTGTTACCTATACAAGGCAACTTTCAGAGACGCCAAGTTCAAAGATCAGCAATGCGTGATATTTTCATGATTTGGCACGCAAGCGTGCGTGCGAGGGTATAACACATGTATAAGGTATAGCGCTTTTTCAAAATATAGCGCGCGCGTCGTGCATAAGAGCATTTTCAGACCCTCGAAATGAGTGATGTCACGCCTAATGCGTGATTCTTGGTAGCTCTGAACTTTGGTATCAAGCATCTTTTTTACTCACCATGTATGCATGTATATCCTTTACTCTTGTCCAGAGATGAAAATGTATGAAAATGTAATTGTGACGTAAATTGTTACCGCGCGTAAACTTTAACACGTACACAATACTGCGCTTATGCACTTTAATAAAAGCGCACTGACTAGAAAGAGTGGAATATGGCAGAATGTTGCCCTCTGATTTAGTACAGTAGTCTACGGGGAAACCCGGGAGAGGGCAATATATGGGGAATGTTGCATGCTTCGGTTTCGTATTCGGAGTAGCATACAAAATACAACTTAATATTTTACAGCAAAAATGCCTTGTATGGGTAACAATATAATATATTGCACACCATGCATTTTTACCTAATAAGAATTATATGTGGTATTTATTGCATTTCCTTTTCAATTTTTTGTTATCGTTCCTCATGCACTTGCTCAAATAATACATTATAGTGTTGCATACCATGCATTGTTACCTCATAAGAACTTTGTCATTTATAAATTAAGAAAAAGAAATGTTTTGATAAATTCTGTAATTATTTGACAAGCTTATTTGAGAGAATTTTGAAGATAACAAACTTGAAATGAACTGCATGCTAGAATTCTATAGGTTAATGATTAAACTGTCATTCTACATACTCTATTCTTTGTCAATAATGAAGAAGAAAAAAGTTATGATAAAGATTGGGACTATTTAACTTATTCCCTTAAGCTCTAGCTCAATTTTGTTCTCTCCCATTTATCTCATCCTATCGCTATTTTAAATCTTTATTTTGAAATTTAATGTGGTATTATTATGCTCCTTGACAGCTTGAAAATATTTTTCTAAATTTATACTGTCATATATTTTTGAATGGCTCGTATATGGTAATGCATGTTGGTATTTATTTCCCTCTTTTTTTCTGATTTTCTATTCTTAGGTAGCTTCTCTCCATCTCTGTCTCTATCTCTTTTTTCTTTTTTTCTTGGGGGGGGGGGGGGGGAGGGGGGAGGGGGAGATCTCTTCAAAACGCCTGTCCCATATTTTTACTATGCTCAATGGCATGGCTCCAAAATTATTATTTTTTTTGTAAGAAGGTCCTTATTCATTATTGTAAAGTAAATAGTCTGTATATACCCTACGTAAAAATCTTGAAAGTTTACCCAGACTTTGGGTGCCAATGTGTTAGTGTTGATCCCTGTCATGGTTTTGGATGCTTCCTTTCGACTACTTATCACCTCTTTTTTTTTACATCTCTTTTTCATAATGTACCAATGTTTTCCCTTTATTGCTTTTCTTATATTGAAAATCATTCTTTGATAATCAATTACTCTTTTCAAAGTTGTATTTTTTTATTCTAATTACATTAATGTTTTTTTTTCTTCAATTTAATATACATAAGTATGTTTCTGAACTCCTTGTCCACTGTCTTGTAAATTGATGAGAACTTCAACAGAAACAAATTATTACTGATCATCATCAGGTACCATTTGGTGGTATTTCTTATTGTCTTAGTTTTTTTAATTTATGGACTATACGTTTGCCTCTACCTGGAAATTTTGAACGGTTGGTCTGAAAGGTTATGGGAAGCAAAAGCATATGGATGCTGTCTGTCTCATGGAATTCTAATTTCCTTTAATTAATTCTACAGTCATGATATCAATGATTTTAGAGAAATTCCTACTTGGAATAGACTTCTTATTCTCTAATTTGAAAATAAACATACATTTCAATTACTACAAGGCACAAGCTAAATTTTTTCTTCATTTTTTAGGGGTGAATTTTCTTTATTGTTATAAGAAAAAAGATAAACAATTCAATATCTTTCACAACTGTCGAAATATTAATACCTTTTAATTTATCAAATCTATCCTGGTTATTCCCAATCGAAGTTGTACTACATACTATCATCTATCAAATTACATGTACATGAATGTATGGAAGTAGCACATTAGGGTTTGATCTTAATTTAGCGTGATTGAGCGCGGTGAGAATAGAGTGCTATGGTACAATAGCCAATGCCCCCAGGTGAGTCAGGTCTTTACGTCAAATATTCAGTAGAGAATTGTCCAATTTGACGAGTCACATGAATCATGGGATAGAATAAAAGCACAAAGGTTATTATGTTTAACCCATAAAGATTAAATCTGAGCAGGTAATGGACACTGAACCGATCGATGTACATGTAGCAAGAGGTTCTTCTGTCGTGGGAAACTTAATCTTGTTATGGCACTGGACTATAAAATATTTAAACATACTGTAAACCATTAACCATGGTACAATTTTCAAAATCGTCATGGCAGACAGAAAAAGAAACTCTTTCAATTTATTAGAAATGGGGTTCAAGTGTACATGTATGGTCATGTTTATTTAAACATTTGAGGAGCCTAGAACAGTAGATTTTCTCACCAGTATTTAGCCTTTTTTCAATGATGGTATTTTAAATCCTGCAGAATCCTAACCCACTGCAATACTGCCATTTATAAATAAGGCCATAATTTTCAAAAAAAATGTTAGCTTGAATTAACTTTGAGATGCACTGCCTTTTTTAACAGATAGTCAGATACATCTATCAGCATTCAACTTTTTCTCAAGGACCATGGAGCAAAGAACTGTGTGTCATGGGCCCCTGTAATTACTACCTTTTGACAGTTTGGCATTTGTGGGACTGGGGTCCGTACTAATTTGTGGCATCTGTAGGGATCTTTGTGTATTTTCTAACTTTAATCAATATCATGTTATTATCATTATCAGTGAGTATATTTGAATTGTGTATACTAAAGTACAAATGTAAATATGTTCTTGTAAATTTGTTCTTATTTTCCTTTGATATGATGTTAATAATAATAATAAAAGGTGCTTATAAAGCGCTTACCACCAAAGTCTCTAAGCGCTATAACAAACAAAATACGATGATAAACTATTACTATATAAAAAAATAAAAAATTGTGAACGATGTAGATGGATTATTTCTGCTGTTTCTTTACCAGCTTGGCCATCCATCCTGAGCGGTCACTCATTGCTACTGGTCAGTTTGGAAAGGATCCTTACATCTGTGTATGGGACTCTAACAGTGTCCAGACAGTGTCTATTCTCAAGGATGGCCACACTCATGGTGTTGGCTCTCTTGCATTCAGTCCCGACGGCTCTGTAAGTATCACCAAATCTTTATTTTTGTTTATTATATACTTTAAATGCATTGATAGATGTGACTAATAGTATGGACATTCCAATATAAAGGTATCGTTTAGCTCTTACTAAACGTTACACCATATTTTTTTTCTTAAACAGATTAAATAGATTTCTGTTACTGCAATTTCTTGTATCATCCACCCTCAAAATAATTTGTTAACCCTCTGTAGGGGATCTTTGAAATTTGCAACATCAACAACAGCAACAATAACAACAACAACAACAAAGTGTCCAAAAGAAAAAGAAAGAAAAAAAATCTGATTTCTGAATGAGGAGAATTCTTCTTGGAATGCTAATAGGAAAAAATGACTTATGACTCATGAAAGTTTTTTTTTAGGCCTGTCAATTGCTAAAACTTGTACTGTATGTGTTTTTAATGCTAATGATTATATTATATCACCAATGTAAAATTGCAACTAATGTGTAAAAATCAAGACTTAAAATCATGGAAATCAATTCAGAGAACTTGGAATGTGTGTGTACAAGTGTCTGTGTCAGCACAATAGATAGCTAAAAAGAATACCTAATAATGATCCTGTTAGGTGAAAATCTACTTCTCATTCAAATTGTCTATTTTGACATTTATTCCTACATGTATATTGTAGCACCATTCTCACAGTCCTTGACCCGTTTGTATTTATAAGGTCATTGGCTTTATTCATCTGCAGTTTAATATTTGTGGCCATATTTACTCTGCATTCGCCTCTAGAGGAAAGACCTTCTTTCCTCCAGCTGTTGACCTGTGTGAATATACACATGTAGCTTGCAGAGAAAGACACATTGCTTTTCTTCTGAAATCTGGAGAAACGTCAATTGCCCCACCCTAGCCTAATGATGAGCTCATCTTATAAAACATACTCATATTGCCCACTTGTAGTGAATAGAATAACTGAATAAGTAAATTAGATCTGGTTGATTGTTTGAAGTTGCTCCTGGACTTCAACATCTTGAGAAGAGTCCTTGATATCACAATGCCAATGCTACAGTGTAGACTTACTCAGAATTCAGATGAAGACATTAGGCATTTTTATTTGCATACCCCGGTAGTGCATTCTACAAATTTACCCTGCACAGCTTCAGTGATTTGAGTTATTACGTGTAACTCACAAAATTCTATGTAAAAGATAATCTATGGAAATGTTTTTTTATTTGAAGAAAAAAAAAGCTGAATATGATAAAAGTAGCCCCAGATATGAAAGTCGTTATTTTTCTTCAAATGAGTCTTCAAAAGAAAAGAAAACAACTTGAATAAAAATATCAGCTTGAAACCACTGAATGTTATAGCCAACTTCTTCAAATTTGCTCTTGAAAATAAGTCCTCTTTTAACTCTGAAGTACATGGTTGCTCGTGGTGGCCCTGTTTTTATCTTAATTTTGGACTTCAGAGATATTCATAGCGTCAAACACGATTTGACAAACTAAACAAAAATTTAGATCAAATGGTTTATGGACTATCTGTAAATGTTTGCATGAATTCAACAAATAATTTCTAGATGAATCTATTGTTACTGTAATATTTACTTTGTTTGCATTTTTTATAAATTATAATAAGTATTAACTTGAATAATTACTTTGGAGCTGTACAAAATGTGTGTATGCATGCAGGTTTGCAGAGATGCAAAACACACACACACAAAAAAATGCTTATATCTTTCACAATAAGCAATGCAATCTGAATCCAATTAAAGTGTGTTGGTGTAGAGATGAGGATAATTTCAAAGTGTGAGGTCCTCGGGTTAACGTCTTATTAAAGCTAAGAGTGGTGGTATGTCAAGAGGGAAAGGAGTTGTACTTGTGATGGAAATGGATGTGGCAGGACGGACCTGAAGAGTTTGGAGGGAGGCCCTCATGGAGGAACCTGTGCTAGACAATAAACAGGAAACAGGATAACTACCCATACTTTGCATAGTCATTGGATCAGCCTTTTCCCTTCCTCCTTAAATAGGTTAAATGCAGTAATTTGAAATGTCACAAATTCACGATGTCAAATTCATTTGAAGTTTGTTATAAAATAAAAGTTGCTTCTACTTGTATTTTGATTTTGAAAAGGTTAATACAGATGTACCTTTAAGATTACAATTTAAGAAATAAGCATTGCTCCATTTTAACTTTCTACCTAAAGTTCTGGATGTTCACAAAACCACTGTTTCCATTTTTTTTTTTATATTAAGGGAGGGGGGGGGGGGGTAATATGTACATGTATGCACTTGACTCCTTCTATTGCCAAACCATGAAGTACAAAAATATTTGTTTCAAATTAAAGTGAGTACCGTAGTAAGTGTTGATACATACATGTATGTATGGATGAAGATGTCTTCACAATTGTTTCACGCTCATACAAAGCTTTAAGATTCTTTAAGACTTGTTTTAAGAACCAACTGCCTTAGGAAACTTATTTACCAGGTGTCTGCCAATCATTAGTAAAAAATGTAAGAAGGACATTACTTTGGGAAATCCAAAATTGAATTTGAAAATTCTGTTTGCCTGTTATTCATTTGCAGAGAATCGTATCTGTCGGTCTGGACCCTAACAACATCATGAATGTGTGGGACTGGAAGAAAGGCAAGATCTTATCTACTGTGAAAGGTCATTCAGCTAGGGTAAGAACACATTTTAAAGTTAAATTGTTGAAGTTGGTGCCGTGCAAAAATAAAATAAACTGAACTGAACTGAACTGAACTATACAGTGGTAAGTGGAAAGTCAAATAGAATTGATTGAATCGCTTTGAGTTTATTTATTTAATCACATTAGTAAAGAAGCTACTATGAAAAAATGATTTTCAGGCTTTCAGCAACGCTGTGAAATACATTTTTGAAAACTACATGATGACTTTTAAACAAAAAACAATGAAATATTACGAACAAGCTTAGAAATAAACATTTTCAAAGGAAATTTACATTTAAAATGTAATTGAATAGAAATTTTGAACAATGATAAAATTCCTAGTGGTGAAGTCATTGTGAGCTTTCATCCTTCATATATCTCAAATTATCTGATTGTTCACTAGATATTTGATTGCCAGTTCAACCCACACAAAGAAGGTACGTTGGTAAGCTGTGGCATGAAGCACATCAAGTTCTGGACCCTGTGTGGGAATGCTTTGACGGCTAAGAAGGGTGTCTTTGGCAAGGTGGGAGACATCCAGACCATGCTGTGTCTTGGGTTTGCACCCAACGATGACATCACCTATGCAGGCACACTCAGTGGGGATATCTATGTATGGAATGGGACCAACCTACAGAGAGTTATACAGGATGCTCACAGGGTAAGGCTGGATTTATTCAAATCCAAATTGTTTGTTACTGTTTTTGCCAACCCATTGAACACAATTTAATTTGATTATGAATGCATTTTCCATCGGCTACAGTGTGAGTTCATCCATGTTAAGTATGCAACGGGTAATTAAATCCTGAAGATGATTTGAAGGAAAAAAGGATACTACATGTAGCAAGACTAATGATTCTAAGTGCATTACAAAGCTCTTATCAAACTGTGGCCAAGCTACTCTGACAAGGTGTTTAATGATTCAAGGAATGTGTTGCTACCATGTACCCATTTAATTTACCTGGGTGGAAAGAGGCAAATGTAACATAATATCTTGCCAGAGGAAGTGAGTGCCATGACAGGGATTTTAACCCCATTCCTGGTGATCTATAGTCTGGGGACATTTCCACTTTACCAGCAATAATGTTAACAAGATTGTTAAGATAGTTATATGATTAAACTTGACCAGTAATTGTTTATAGACTTTTGCATGAGACGATGATAGACATCATTCTGTCTTCTTTGTCTTGATATGATCGTGCAGGGTAGCATATATACGATGAACGCAGCTGAAGGAGGGTATGTGACTGGAGGGAAGGATGGATGTCTGTGTCTATGGGATACAGACTTCAGACACATTACCAAGATTGACCTACACAAGACCAAGCAAGGATACCCAGGTAAGGACTAGGGATTAGCAGATTGTATGCAAGAGAGAGAGAGAGAGAGAGAGAGAAGAGAAGAAAAAACCCACCACAAATCAGTGAATTACTATATAAATAGTTCCTAAAATCTTCTAAGCAGCCTTTTTCTTAGGACAATTTTTGTTGTTATTGAAAATTTGAAAAGAGTTATGTAGGCAGATTGACACCATGAAAGTCATATATATGTGCTGCTCGGCTTTATTATTCTCAAGAAGAAATTTCTATAGGCCAGGACCAGAAGGAAAAAAAAAAAGTCGTAATATAGGTGCTAATGTGAGATCGAAAATCGTCTTAATTTTAGTAGGATTTGAAAAATTGTGTAACTTTTGTTTTGATGATATTGCATTGTACAGGTCTCTCGATCCGCAGTGTCCATTGGCTGGGTGAGCACATCCTAGTGGGCACCCATGACAGTGAGATCCTGGAGATCTTTGTACGAGAGAGAGATAAACCCAAGGTGCTGGTGCAAGGTCATGCAGAGGGAGAGCTCTGGGCCCTCACAGCACATCCTAAGAAACCTATCTTTGCCACCGGTAGTGATGACCAGAGTGTAAGGTAAGTCGTTTAACTCATTGCCTATGGAAATTTGATGGCTCCTGTATCACAGGAAATAGGTATGAGAGAATTCGGTTGTCAATGGTTTGAATACATCAATTCTCTTCAACTTTTTTAGTAGTTTATACTATCCAATAGAGCATCATTCTTGCTACGGTAGTTGAATTTGTCACAGAAACATAAATTATGGCTAAGTGCATTGCTTACACTTATTTCTGTTAAGCACTGTGCAGGTGTAATTTAATCGAGAATAAAACTAGAGTTTCAGAAACATTAACCAAAGGTTTCACATGCATTGATCTGATGTATTTATAGAAATGATTAGCCAATTATTTAACTCTATTGAAGTTACGCTGTAGATCTATACACATATACTATACATTGTATGTGACAAGGGGTCCTAGTCATTAACATTATTGAATTAGCTGCCTGTGTTCAAGGGCATTAGAGCTGTGTGCAGCTGACAAGAGGCTCAATTGAATTTGATTGGTATCATTTCTGTAATATGCTTTTATCAGTGACAGTAAACACTGCTTTAGGAATCTTCGATATTGCATTTATTTATTCAGGTTTTTTGCTCATATTTAATCAGAATTGCCAATGTGTTCCTGAAAATAATTGAAAATAAATGCTTCCCATTTAGAAATTAATTGCTATAAATGGTTCTTTAAAAAATCCCTATCAAATAAAATGATTCTTAGTAAACATATTTGTACCGGTAAGTACAAGGAACACTGAAAATGAACGTACCATTATTTAACAGGATATGGCACAGTGAAGATAAGACGTTACTGGCAAAGACAGAGATGGAGCAAAATGTGCGGTCGGTAGCTTTCAACCATGATGGCAGTCATCTTGCAGTTGGCATGTCAGACGGATCCTTCACAGTACTCAAATCAAAGTGAGTGCTACAGATGCTTTTTTTTTGTATTTTTTTGTAGAAAAGAAAGTACATTGTGTAGAGAAAAGAAAGTAAATTGTGTAGAAAAACGTGAGCCGAAAGAAGAAAGTAATTCTTACAAATGAATTGTATCAAATGGTGCAACATATTCAAACTTGCGCAATATGATAAAAACTTTGAAGAAATATCAACCAACCAAGACTCATGTAGGTATACTTACACAGCAATACAGAATCAAGAGGTTAGAGATGTTTATACCAGATTTACCTTTAATACTGTTAATATTGTTATGAGTATTTTAGAGTCACCAGTCTTCAAGATCTTTTTAGAAGGCATTGATACATGTATTTGTTGCTGAATTTTCTTGATTCAAGCCTGCCTCCCAAATGATAAATGGATAAATATTGTTTGTAACTGCACTGTACTAAAACAGTAATTACCTATGATCAAGTTACCCTAGGAATCCAAAGTCCTAATGAATCATTGTACATCCTCCTCGGCACACAGAGATCTTTCAGAGATCATCCACATCAAGGATCGCAAGGAGGTCCTGCACGAGTTGAAGTATTCTCCGGAGGGTCACTATCTTGCTGTAGGCTCAAATGATAACTACGTAGATGTGTATGCTGTGGAGCAACACTACAAGAAGGTTGGGCAGTGCTCTGGTAGCAGTAGCTTTATCACTCATCTAGACTGGTCCAAGGATAGCCAGTATCTTCAGACCAACAGTGGTGCTGCAGAGAGACTCATCTATAAGATGCCTGGTGAGAATTTTGTTGTTGTTGACTTATTTGATTTTCTAAGATTGCCAAAAATGTATTGATGACAGTTTCGTTTCCAGTTGAAATACTTCTTGAATAGAAATATTTGCCTTTACAGACCACATTTTTGTTGGGATCTCTCAGTCTTTTCATAGTTTCAAAGAAACCTGTACATAAATACCACCTACTTACAAGGACAATTTTATAGTCTCTCTTGAGCCCTCATTGTATTCATGTTTCACTGTATCAAACATAAAATATTCTCAGTTTTTGTAATGTCAGAGACTACCTACACTTATATAATTCTAAGTTCTAACTTCTAACTTCATGCTATCTATGACAGCTGGAAAGCATCTGACCAACCGAGATGAAATCAAACAGATCCACTGGTACTCCTGGACCACTGTTCTTGGAGCTGAAGCTAATGGTATCTGGCCCAAGTACTCGGACACCAATGACGTCAATGCTATAGATGCAAACTTTGATGGCGAGGTGATGGTGACAGGAGATGACTTTGGACTGGTCAAACTCTTCAGGTTTCCCTCATTGAAACGAGGTGAGTTTGGAATGCAGTACTCCACTTCTCAAGATGATGTGTATTAATATAGCCTTGGCCAAAACAGAGATGCATTTCAAACTTCCAGGTTGCAAATTACCTGTGTTGTAGTGTCTATCTGCTATATTAGAAGTAGTGCTTCACTGGACCATTTTAAAGCTTATCTGTACAAGTTTATAGGAGGGATTAGACTACCCTGCAAGGTCACTGGACAGGTGGTTATCTCATCATCTCAGCTCTCAATTAACATAAGAAAAAGAGGATCATGAGGTACCAATGGTCACCGATTATGCATTGTTTTCTATATAGAGGGAGCAAGTAGCTACAAGTAGGACAGTGGGGCTTTAAGCTATTAAATACTTAAATCTCTACTACCCATAGTCTTAATACAGGAACCTTCCAGTTTCCATATAAAGATACCACAAATGTACCTTGGCCTCCTGAGACTTTGGGAAGGCAGTAAGACACATTTAATTCCCAAAGAAAATGTACCTGATAATCTCATTGGTGTTGCTGTTATTGTTTTAATTGTTATTTTCTAATTGTAATCTTTTATAATTCTCTTTCCAGGTGCCAAGTTCAGAAAGTAAACTGGTCAGTCTGCCAATAATCCCAGCATGAATAATATTGTTGTTGCTGTTTTATTATTCTCTTATTCTTAACTTCAACATGTTTCTTTTGGCAGGTGCTAAGTTCAGGAAGTATGTTGGTCACTCTGCCCATGTGACCAATGTGAGGTTCACCCATGATAAGAGGTATGTTGTGTCTGTAGGAGGTGGTGACCATGCTGTCTTCCTGTGGAGGTACAACCCAGAGGGTATTCAGAATGATGAAGATTCAGGCACAGGCCATGATACAGGTCAGTATACGATGGTTTACATTCAAACATTATAGCCTCAATCATGGATTTCCTGCGAAGCTACTATCCTGCATTATCCAACCAGATGAAGATTTTGGCTACTCCAATCCTTACAAAAAATGTTTACATAAGAAAAGAAAGATAAATTTCTGAATGTATTAGATCATATGTTGTGTAGCTAGGAAAACAGTTCTTTCACACTTAAACACCCTGACTTGGGAGTTCTAAATAGATGATTACCACAACATTTAATATTATGACATAAACATAAAACCCTCTAACATTCCAAAATGATAGCCATTCTTTATCTTCTATTAAATTTGAAGTGTACATTCTCTCTCTGAACAGGATATATGGATTCAAACAGTGAGGACAGTGACTCAGACATGTCAGATATGGGTGATCTGGACTCCGACATCGAGAAGGAGAAGGAGATCGACTATGAGAGGGCTGTTTACAAGGAGGACCTGGACCAACTCAAGAGACAGAACAAGACCAATAACTCTACAGGAGAGAAGAGACGAGATGGTCCCAGCAAAGGAATTAAGCTAGACTTTGTGCATGGGTGAGTTACAATAGAATATCTATTATTGAACCCCATGTCAATGATGTTTGTGAAATGGAAAATGCTTCTATGGTGTTCATATTGATATGTAAATAGTTGTCAATTTAAAGGTAATACAAAGTTTTGGTATAGGGTCATGAATTTGGTTCAAATGAACATATTGGAAGCGTAGGCGATTCTACAATATTCAGTGATCAGTGTCGCGGTTGAAATCGAGTCTAAAGCGATGAAATTGTAAATAAACTATTTATGTTGTACAGCCCCCTCTCAAGGTCAATATATTAATTCAGCTATAAAACAATGTTCTTTGAATAAAATCGAACGATGTGCTATTACCGTTTGGAATATATATATCACAACTACATATTCTGAAATTTTCATAGTCGCAGCTACCATCGTATGGTCGTAGGCGCTATTTGAAATTTATCAAAATTTACCAGGAGCACCGGTAAATTTCTATATTCAATTTTTCTCGAAAGCAGAAGTGTTTTAGGGACTAATTTTTTTAGTGCTTATAATACATCCATAGGGGCATCCAGATTTATCAAAATTGTAAAGAATCACTATCCAGCCAATTTTCAAAATTTACCAAAACTTTGTAATACCTTTAAGACAGTTTATGAACAATACTAGAGAATTAGTACAGGTGGTCATTTTTTTGTCTTTTTTTTTTTGTCTGAAGGGCATTAATTCTTTGTAACGTGATATGAGTTAATACCCTTCTAGCTCCAAACAGGTGAGGTACAAAAAAAGAAACAAGAAAATAGATTAAGATATTGCTATAAATGCCCCATAATCATGCTCTTTATCATAACATTGATGTTACATGTCGAAATAATTGTCTGTCAACAAAGTTTTACTTAAATATGATAATTTGAAGGTCAAAACATTGCTTTTATTGCAAATATTGGGATATGTTTAGCAAAGGTCATGCCAGTCCTCATCCCACTTCACCTTTCTATTCTTTGCAGCTATCGAGGGTACGACTGTCGTAACAATCTGTTCTACACTCAAGCAGGTGAGGTAGTATTCCACGTTGCAGCAGCTGGTATCGTCTACAATCGTGAGACGCACTCACAACGCTTCTTCCTTGGTCACACTGATGACATTCTGTGCTTATGTATTCATCCACGCAAGGACTATGTGGCAACTGGACAGGTAAGAATGTTAGACGTAAGCTGATTAGATCATTGGTAATTATTGGATTAGGCAGATGAAATGTCCGTAACATGAGGATCAATAATGTTTTCACAGGCAAACTTGTGATATGGTTATAATCATCTTATTTCCAAAGGATAGCTGGTTATTGATGTTAACATAAAAATTGTCAGTAAAATCACATTTGAATAGAAGCTGAAAGGCAGGAACACATATAGGTGATACATCAAATTAAAATTTGTTTGCCCTGAAACATACAGAGTGTGTATTATGAAATAGCAATTCCACTCTATTATGGTTTCTCACTAATGAATTCATGCAGAGTTTTATAGAAGATATGTATGCTTTTGACCCTTATTTGCTTGTATCCATCAGGTTGGCAGAGATCCATCTATCTATGTTTGGGAATGTGAGACTCTGAAACCACTTGCTCTCCTGAAGGGCCAGCATAAGAGAGGAGTTTGTGCGCTGGACTTTTCAGGTACTTGAAAACAGCTCTTCCATGATCTTTGAATTAAAATGTTAAAATCTTGAAGTGAGAAATTCGATCTAGATGTCTGTTACCATGGTATTTATTGTTAAAAGTTAGACTTTAGGAAAGCAAACTTGTAAGGAATGTGTTTAATAGGAGCTGCAATGCCTTATTATTTATGCTAAACTTCCATCATAGGATTTAGATGACGTTGGGGTTAAGGTTGGTAGTCATTACGCTGAGAATTTGATTTGCTATGATATTCATGATGACAATATAGCTAAATGCATATTCTTCTATGATGAGTTAACATGAATACCACTGAGGAACAATTGGCTAACATTGACCATTTCATTGAAATTTTAGCCATGACAATGCATTTCTTTGTTTCCTTCATTTCATCAGCCGATGGGAAGAAGTTAGCCAGCGTGGGTCTTGATGATAATCACTGCATTGTTGTGTGGGACTGGAAGAAAGGTGAAAAGCTAGCTACAACGAGAGGACACAAGGACAAGATCTTTGTCATCAAGTGGAATGCACATGATAATGATAAACTGGTCACTGTTGGGATGAAACACATCAAATTCTGGACTCTAGCTGGTAAGAAATATGCACAAGTTCAGCTTTTATGTATAGTATGAACACAGCCAAATTTATGTCTTTCTTATGTCTTTATATTTACAGGTTTTTATTGTTTTTTTTCCAAACAATGTTACTTCCTCTACCCTGTTAGACAATTTTCCAAGATCCACAGATACATAACCTTTCATTCCCGGATCAGTTTTTTTTCCTTTTTCTCCATGGTGATCAAGTGTTGCAGCTTCCTGAGCATGGAAAAAGTATCTCACCTTCATTTCTAATATCATTAAATGTGACAGCATATTTCAACTTTCGTCCCACATAATATTAAATTGTGTATTGTAATTTATTTGATACACATTGTTGCCTTGTTGATGCTGTGTTGTGATATAGTGAAAAGTACATTAGATTATCATTGTGGTCAACATTATTGTTTTAAGATATCATATTTAAAGCAAGTAAATTAAAAAAACCTGAATTGGATGGAAATATTCTGTCCCGTTCTGCAAGTACTTTCAAGTGTGATAATTAATAGTCTCCCCCCCCCCCTCTCTCTCTTTCTCAGGTGGTGGTTTCACATCAAAACGTGGTACATTCGGTAACATCGGCAAACCTGACACCATGATGTGTGTTTGCTATGGACGTTCACCAGAGATGACGTATTCTGGAGGTGCCAATGGTAACATCTACCACTGGCAGGGGACCACCTTACTGAGGACAGTCAAAGCACATGATGGTCCATGCTTTGCCATGCATTCCTTGGACAAGGTAGCTTTTTTCTACCATTGCAAGTTTTGTATGGTGATTGGCACGAACCAACTTTGAAGTTGGCCACATTGTTTGTAAAATATATCAAATTCATTTTTAAGATATATGTGGAAATGATTACCACAAACTGTTTGTCATATTTAGTGTCATGGGCATGGCTATACTAAGAGCTGGATGTATATAATTCTACTAATTTTATTTATTTCTATTTTAGACAGTTCAAAATAAATGTCTCTAGATATGCCGTTCTTCATAGTTGCATCAAACTTTATGTTCTTCATGACTTTTAGATGTTTTTTTTAAATTCCATCCTGACGTTAGAATAATGAATATATTATCAGAAACTCTACTAAGTGCTTATGGAAAATTGATTTTGTTTGCATAGTAGTGAAAAGGGAGAGTGCTGTAAGCTATCAAATGTCTTGCAGACAGAGGCTGGACATTTTTTCTCACTTACCAATGGTAACCATCACTTCAATCAATATTAAATGTAATCTCTTTCTGCTATTCATTCCAGGGCTTTGTGACTGGTGGAAAGGACGGCATGATTGCTCTTTGGGATGAAGCATTTGAACAGTGTCTCAAGACCTACGCTGTCAAGAAGTCCAGTTTGTCCCATGACTCCCATGGTACTCTGACCAGTGACATGCCAGCCATTCGGTCAGTGGTGCTAGGACATGGACACATTCTAGCAGGGACCAAGAACAGTGAGGTCCTACAGATTGAGAAGAGCGGACCTATCAAACTACTCGTTCAGGTATGCTATCAATTTCTATGTATATGTTGGTAACAGGGAGTGTGAATATATTTTTAAGACATTGAAAGGGTAGTGGGTAGATGGAGAGTTACACAATGAAATGTTAGTGGTAGGATGTAAAAAATATTTTGCTCATTGTTTATTAGAGAAATTCTGGTGTTCTGCTCTTTAACTTGAGGGTGCAACCTTAAAATGAAACAAGTTATAAATAAAATAATTTTTTTTTCAAATAGTAGGATTGAAGCTTAGCTACTTGTCAACTGTTACCAAGACCTTCTACAGGGAAAACATAGAATGTGCACAATTTATGAATTTCTTAAAAAATATTGTGAAAATAGTCCTTTTAGGGTCACATAGAGAGTGTGGGGGGGGGGGGGGCATGGAGTTTAGTTGCTAACCCATCTAAATACCTAGCAATAGTCAGTGATTGCCACACATGAAGTCTCTAAGGTATTTATAACATGAAAATTGAATGTCATTTTGTACATTTTGTGGTAAACTCTAAACAATCCTCCTTTCATCAGGGTCACATGGAGAGTGAGGTATGGGGTTTAGCTGCTCACCCAACAAAGGATGTCATATCAACGGTTAGCGATGACCAGACGTTACGTCTGTGGGACATTGGAGAAGCCAACAAGCTCCTGAATGTTAGGAAGCTGAAGACAGGTGCACGGTGTTGTGATTTCTCTCCTGACGGCAAGGGATTGGCTGTAGGATACAAAGATGGTGAGTCTTCAACCTCCTCAGACTTTCTCAAAGTAGGCTATGTTAGAAGTATGAGTAGCAACATGAATATTTTTCATCCATGATCATTTATCGTTCAGAGACTGATCAGTATTAAAGATGCATCTTATTCACTCCGCATTCTTCAAATGTGTTGGCATAGTGGACAGATATGTTCTCATACCATCCTTTCAAGCTAAACATTTAACATTCTATTTTCATAAAACTAAAATAAATATATTTTTATAAAGTTGATAATTATTCAAACTTCGCCTGAAGAAGTTATATTTGTTTTTGTCCTTCTTGGTATGTTACAGGCAGTTTTTCTGTGCTGGACAGTGAGACACTCAATGACATTGCAGGATTCCATCATAGAAAAGAAGAAATCTCTGACGTCAAATTCTCACCTAGTAAGTATACAAAGTTAAGATGATAACAATATGTACATTTTGTTAACTCCAGTTTCAGAAGTATTCATTTCTTTATTTATTGGTTCAATCATTAAAGGTAATACAAAGTTTTGGGAAATTTTTAAAATTGGCTGGATAGTGATCCTTTACAACTTGGAAATATTTGGATGCCCCTGTGGTTGTATTATAAGCACTAGAAAATTTAGCCCCTAAAACACTTCTGCTTTCGAGAAAAATTGAATATCTAAATTTACAGGTGCTCCCGGTAAATTTTGATAATTTTCAAACAATGCCTATGGCCATACAATGGTAGCTGCGACCATGAAAATCTCTGAATATGTAGTTGTGATACATAATTTCCAAATGGGAATAGCCAATCAGTCGATTTTAATCAATAAATATTGTTTTATAGCTAAATTAATATCTTAACCTTGAGAGGTAGCTATACAATGAAAAGAGTTTATTATTTACAATTTCATCACTTTAGACTTGATTTCAACCGCAATAATGATCACTGAATATAACTTTGTAATACCTTTAATCGATCACCATTGATTCAACGCATAAACATTCTTTGTGCATAGCTTCTTCTTAGAATAGCAATGAGAAATTGTAACTAACCCCAACATCATTTTGCCAAGGTCATATTCCTATTTAGCCAATTGACTACTGGATTATATGAGTTCCATATGATGATATGCTTAACAGGTACCACCTGGTTCCCAGAGGCGATGGCTGAATTCAGCAAGTTTTGAAATTGCAAATATGTGTGCCCTGTCATTTGGGTGCTTGATTAATCTCTTCCCTGTGTAAAATTGGTGCTTTCTTGTTCTTAATCACATATTTTCTTCACTGACCATATCATGTATACTTTCAACAGATCCTGGAAAATACCTAGCTGTAGCATCTCATGACAACTATGTGGACATCTACAATGTAATGAACAGCAAGAGAGTTGGTACTTGTAAAGGATCATCCAGTTATATCACACATACAGATTGGGATAGATCAGGTAGGTTAATCATCAGCTGTTGACAAAAATGATTGTAGAAAATTAGGCAAAAGGCTTAAGTAGATGAACAAAAACATTTAGATTGTTGAAAAACATCATTTTATTGTACAGAGACAGAGCCATGATATTAGGATCCAGAGCTAGTAAATACATGTACTACCTCAATTAGGCTGAGTAATACCAAATCTGTTAGTCATAAAGTAGGAGTAAAATTTCAGATGCAATGCCATGCCACCAGCTACTATTAACAATCATGCATTCCATTTGAGGTTTTTCTTGAATAGTTGATAATATTCGATCAATTTAAATCATCAAACTCAGTAATGCTACAGCCAAATTTTTTCTACTATCAGCCACATAGGTGTTAAAACTGTTTAAACATCTCAACAGCAGCAGAAGAATCCTTGAGCAGCTCATTGGCAGAAAGTGATTCTTCATTTCCTGTAAACTCTGTTCCACCTTTCATCCTTCACTCAACAGGCAAACTTGTCATGTCCAACTCCGGTGCCAAGGAGCAGCTGTTCTTTGAAGCCCCTCGAGGCAGGAGGCACGCCATACGTAACATGGAGATAGAGCGTCTCAACTGGGCATCGTGGACTTGTGTCCTGGGGCACACCTGTACAGGTATCTGGCCTGCTAAGAGTGATGTGACGGACGTCAACGCTGGCTGCTTGTCACATGACGGCACAACTTTTGCAACGGGGGATGACTTTGGATTTGTCAAGCTGTTCCAATGGCCCGTTGCGGTAGGTTTATGAGGCACTTTGTAGAATTACAAATTGACCCCCTCTACTCCAAAAAAAAAACTCTATACAAATAAATAGATAAAAATATTTGAAGTGTTTGAAATATGCTTAAATCTAACTTAAAATGCATTCAAAAATTCACAATATCTGTCACATGTTTTACTGACTCCATTGAACAAATCCAACCCCATTTTTCTATCTTTTTCACCAGGGGAAGAATGCCAAGTTCAAGAAGTACGTCGGACACAGCGCCCATGTGACCAACGTCAGGTGGTCATATGATGATACGAAGCTGATATCGGTAGGTGGGGCTGATACCTCCATTATGGTTTGGTCACGAGATGGCGCTGGTGAAAGCAATGCGTGTGGAGATAGCGATGATTCAGACACAGACTCAGAGGAAGAAGGTGAGTTTATACCATCAATATTACTAGCGACTTGATACAAAGTAATCTTAATTTTAGATTCATGAATTAAAAAAATGTATGCACAAGATTTTTAAAATGAGATATATTATAAATGCCATTATAATGTTAGTCCAAGTTTCTCTGCTAAAAATGAATTACAAACTATTATTCCTATTTGCCACTTGCTATGCATGTCTTACCTTCCATGCTTAAGACCACTACTCTTGAGCGATATTGTGTAATTTTCTAAAATGTTTCCAGTTGCAGAAAAGCTATTTTTTTATCTCTCTGAAGCAGAAAGAGGTATATACCGTATATTATGAAGTTTATTACATGTACCTTGTAAGGAATGTCCAGTTTATCAATGAAACAGAGAATTGCAACAAACTTTAATAGTGGTATAGAATGGGTAATAATTAAAATGATCTTCCTAATCAACACACCTTTCCCAATTTCTTTGAATGGTAGAAACATAACTTCTAAGGCAAAGTTTGGTTCTCTCTCTCTCTCTCTCTTTCTGTCCCTCTCTATCTCTCTCTGTCTGTCTCTCTCTCTCTCTCTCTCTCTCTGTCTGTCTGTCTCTCTGTCTCTCTCTCTGTCTCCCTCTCTCTCTCTTTCTCTCTGTCTCTCTGTCTCTCTCTCTCTCTCTCTCTTGCTATCTCCCAGGCTATGACAGTGATGTTCAGCGTGAGAAGGACATGGACTATTCAGCCAAGACGTACTCGGGTCCAAAGAGAGATATGGCTGGAGTCAAGCCTCATCTACGGGATGTAGAGGATGATGATGCGTAAGTACAGCCTCCAAGAGAAGATGATTGTGGTACAGCTCACTGCACATCTCTTTATATTAAGATTGACAACATACAAATTTATCTTTGATCCAAAATGAATGCTTTGTCAAACAGAGAAAAGTAATTTTACCATCACAATTTAGGAGCACAATGTGAACCTCATTTAATATCAAGTCAACAGGCTACACATATCATTTTTGATTTGGTGAGGTTGTTAAGAGATTACAGTCCATGTATTTCCCTTCTCCATCAATAAACAGTATTATATAAGTCATGTCTTTTTATTTTGTTACAGGCCTAGTTGCAGCAGGGCTGCAGCCAGGCCCACTAAAGTTAAGAAGAGTGATGTAGATACAGGCAAGAGGAAAAGGCCTGGCCAAGTAGAGGTAAGTGTGATTTTAAAGTATTTCAAGATTTATAAATTAATATTTGCAAAGCTTGGCAGTTGGCAATTTTGTTGATGGCTTTTAACTCTTGAACACTGTAAAGCATGAGACATTCTACTCAGAATGCTGTTTACCAAAATCAAATTGTATCCAACAGGCAAAACTTTGTGCATGTCTGTCATATCAGAATTGATAAGTGAATAAAGTTGCATTGTAAGAAATCGTTCATGGTTTTTAGAATCAAGAAGTATTGAAGTTATTAATAATTCAAATGTAAAATAATAATAATAATGATAATATTGGATATTTATATAGCGCACATATCCACCCTGCAAGGTGCTCAAAGCGCTCCAATATTACCCCGGTCTGCTAGGCTACCGATTTCGGTGCTCACAGCATTCAAGAAATTCCTTCCTACCGGTCCCCATTTACTTCACCTGGGTGGAGTGTGACAAATTTAGATCAATGTCTTGCCAAAGGATGTTAGTGCCGCAGTGGGATGATTATGTATATTCTGACATTTGTTCTGTTTACTTGACTAAACTTTAAAGCTGAAAACTCATAATTCTATTTCTCTTAAGTTGATTTATTGAATTGTTACTTTCTAACTTTTTTATGCAGGAGTTAGTACTGCAACACATCCATGGCTATCGAGGCTATGACTGTAGAAACAACCTCCATTACCTCAATGACGGTGCTGATATCGTCTATCATGCCGCTGGAGCTGGCATCGTCCAAAACCTTGAAAAAGGTCAGTCATCCTAGGTCATGTGCACACATATAGCATTGTTGTTTGTTATTTATACTATGGCTGGATGGTACATGTATTTTCATTCTTTGTCATTTGATTAAACAGAGATCATATATTTGCATTTGGGTACATCAAAAGGTAGGCCAATAAGGGGTAATTCTGATCAGCACAAAAGTACAAACCTTGATGTATGTACAAAATCAAATGTTATTTCTAGAAAGCAATGAAAAGTTTCAATGCATGATTTGATCCAAGGTAAAAACTTTATTACTTCAAGTGATATGGATGATTTATTTTAATGAAAGTGAATGAATGCATGATATTGAAATGTTGCTTTAGTGATGGAAAACATCAGGAAAATATTCCCATTTAAAAGATCTGGGTCAATGTGTGTGTCACTACTTATTGATGTGTAGTTTGACCTTCAACCTTTGACCTACTACCTTTGACCCACAGGGAGCCAGAGCTTTTACCTTGAGCACACGGATGACATCATATGCCTGACTGTCAATCAGCACCCCAAGTATCCCAACGTTATAGCGACCGGTCAGATCGGTGAGACACCAGCGGTCAATGTCTGGAATGCAGAGACCAAGGAGACATTGTCCCTCATACGAGGGTTCCACACCAAGGGGGTTTGTTCAGTGAACTTCAGTGCGTCCGGGAAGCTATTGCTGACCGTTGGCATCGACCAGAACCATTCATTTGCCGTGTGGAGATGGCAAGATGGTAAGAGGAATTCATTCTTAGAATAGATTCTTTGATCATTTCTTTGAGATATGTACATAGCTGATATTGTCATCCCTGTTGTCTTTTGTGAATTATATATATATATGATGAAAGAAGTCAATTTATTAAAGCAGTTCTAAATTTAAACGTAGGCCTCTCCTTAACAATAAGGTATCCTCCTTGATTGTACTGAATATACATTGAAATGAGGTTACACTATATAGACTGTGTGTCATAGAGTTGACTAGCAGAGACTCTAGACATTAGATATGATGAAGTATGTAAGAGTAGAGTATTGATGCATGATAAGAGGTCATGGAAAGTGAAACTAATTTCTGACCTCTGATTTTTCTTGACAGGTTCTAGGATTGCAAGTGGTGTTGGACACACAAAGCGAATCTTCATGGCCGAATTCAGACCGGACTCTGATTCTCAGTTTGTGACGGTTGGTGTGAAGCACGTCAAGTTCTGGACGGTAGCAGGTAGTCAGCTCCTAGGCAAGAGAGGTCTACTCAAGAGATCTGGTACCAATCCACAGGAATCCAAGATGCAAACCATGCTCTCAATAGCATTTGGAGCAGTAAGTCATTTTAATGAGATACTGAAGATCTGAATGTTTTTCTTCATTTCTTGTCTGTTTTGTATCCTTTATATATCTGTGTTCATGCGTGTTTCATTTTGTTGCTTCTTCTTTTCTTTCCTCAATTCACTATTTTTGGGGGATATATGTTCACATAATTTGTGAGAGTCGTGTAGTTTGAATTTGTGTACATTCAAAGTGAAGTGCCAGCTTACATAAGAATATTGATTGTTTGTTAAAAAATATCTAGAAGCCTCAATATTCAATGATTAAATAAATTCCAACGTGACCTGCAATAGCCTAGCCTTTTGAGTGAACTTGATACTAATTTCTTTGTCAACCGCAAAGAATTGCAAATGTAACAGTTGTTATGATATGTGGTTTGTATAACTCAAACAAAAAGGATGTTTTACAGTCATTCAAAAAGAAACAACAACATTGTATCATACCATATATATGTATTTTTTCATTAATTTCCTAAATAGAATGAGACGACATACACTGGATCTATGTGCGGTGATGTGTATGTATGGAAGGGGCACATGTTAGCTAAAGTGGTTACCAGGGCTCACCAAGATGCCGTATTCACTCTCTACACAACCCTCAAAGATGGACTCATCGTCTCAGGAGGCAAGGAGAAGGCGTAAGTCATCCCACTTTGAAAATGCACAAGCTTTTAATCATTGATGTGCACAATCTTACCCATTATCCATTCCAAATTGCCTCCATTTGTCATCTCAGCTTAATCATGGTTGTGGAAATGTCATATTATAGAATTGAAATTCATTCGAAACTAGGTTCTCCTCATTAGTTTTATCAAAATCAATCAAGAATTTTTTTCACCCTAGGAGATATGTCCCTTCAAAAGTCAGGAAAAATGTATTTGAACCTATTTTGGTTGAAGTATCCCCCTTTTCAAGTGTTTGCTGTGACTCTGTTTGTTATAGGTGAATACGTATTGTCTGTTAGCAGACCAAAAGACACTAGAAGTCATGTACTTTAAAGAGTTATTGCTCTTCCAGCTCTAAACACAGGATATGATTTTTTTTTTAAATTTTGTTGTTGTTGAATTTTTACTTCTCTTTTCTTTTGAAGTAATTTGAGCCCTTATCCCACTTGGCATTCATGCATGTTGCATCCAACAGTTGACAGAGTGTAATGTAGCGAACTTTTCAAATTTGTGTATATTATTATGCAGGGTTAGCATTGATAGAGGCAATGAAGTTTGTGTTTGTTGTTTCCCATGTAGTGGACGTAGTGGAAATGCAGTGAAGTTATGGGACCAGGACATGAAGAAATGTAAAAACTTCCAGCTCAGCACAGGCAACAAGATGGATGTCGTGAAGAGTGTCTGTAGGGCCAAGGTCAGTTCCAACTCCGAGAGGTTCCTTCAAATTACTTGCAGTGATGCTTGTTTTCCAATATTTGTTTCTCATTCTTGCATTTTGTCATGATGCATATTAACAAAAGTATGTTGCATTTTATTTTTGTCAGCAGTCCAAAGATAGATTGAAATGCCAAGAGTTAAGACTTTTTTGAACTAATAGTTATGAATTCTGCACTAGTCTTTAAGCCAAAAAGAATATAAAAGTGTAGTTAAAATTGGCATATGCAAGAAAAATTGATAGAGAGAATTGATTATTAGTTGTTTGATGGTTTAAGCAATGAACAGATCCTAAATGTTTACAACATTGTCATATTTCCAGTAAGAATCTGTGAATAAATGCCTCAAAGCAAAGTTGCTAAAGTTAGATGCAGAAAGTGTTACTGTATTCCAGCTTGATCTAGAGCTGACAGATATTATTTCTCTTAATAGGGAAAGATCCTGATAGGTACTAAGGAGAGTGAGATATTTGAGATTGACGAGAAGAAAGGAACGGTAACCAATCTAAGCCAGGGTCACGGTGAAGGGGAGCTATGGGGTCTCGCTGCCCACCCTACGAAGGAAGTATTTGCATCAGCTAGTGACGATACAACCATTAGAATATGGGATGTTCCTAACAAGGTAAGACAACTGATTGAAGAAGACCCACCCATCTCTCTCTTTCTCTTTTCATTTCTCTATCTCTCTCTCTCTCTCTCTTCTCTCTCTCTCTCTCTCTCTCTTTCTCTCTCTCTCTCTCTCTCTCTCTCTCTCTCTCTTTCTCTCTCTCTCTCTCTCTCTCTCTCTCTCACTCTCTCTCTCTCACACACACACACACACACTATCTCTCTCTCCCTCTCTCTCTCTTTCCCTCCCTCTCTCTTTCCCTCCCTCTCTCTTTCCCTCCCTCTCTCACACTCACACTCTTCTCTGCCCCTTTCCCTCCTTCCTCCACCCATCTTATCTTCATTTGCCTTATTTCCTCTCTCTAGCCTTTTCCCTTTGACTTTCTTACTCTACATGTATTTTTCTGCATGGAGGCAGAGAATGTTGGCCACCCCAATCACACTTCTTCTGTAAACAAGTTTAGTAGAATAATACAGGTGGAACTTCATACCATAATCCTCAAGACAAATATTTATTTGGTTGAATTTTAAAAATCAATCAATATAAATCACCATAATGATAGATGCATTTACTGTACAAGCATATTCTACTCTGCTTGATATAAATATATCGTAAATATATTCAGGAATTTACAGAATTTGTTACTTTTTTTTCTCACATTGGTTAAGAGTGGTATATGTAGATTATTGTCTGGCCAAAGGAATTGGAACTGCTGACCATGACACATCTAAAACACATCCATGACACTCTTCTTGTTCTGGTTTGATTTCTTACTGAATGTAGAAAATGTTGAACAAGGCAGTGATTGGGACTGCAGCCAGGTCTATAAGCTACAGTCCTGATGGTGAGAAGCTAGCTGTTGGTCTCAAGAATGGAGAATTTGTCATCTTGACTGTAGCTACTCTAGAGATGTGGGGACGCAAGAGAGACAGGAGCAAAGCCATACAGGACATCAAGTAAGAATACAGAAATGGGTATACATTAACTCTGCTGTCAGACTATTATGTTGGAGCAATTTGTAAAATTCTGCATTTGTCATTTGTCTATTATCCACAAAGGTGTGTGAAATTGTTATTTGGGATGAAATGTATACTTTTCATTATACATATAACTTATCTAGTGTCTTTCTTTTATACGTGTAGTTGCAGCCCCTGTTAGATCCATTTCTTCTTGGCAGTGACATGTTTTTTGTACATGAATATTTTCTACTTGTCATAACTGTATGAATTAACAGCCTGTCCTGATAAGACTCATTAACATATGAAGCTGAAGGATCTTGAAAGAGTCTCATATTTAGTACTTAGATACGTGTCCATTGATAATTCTATTTATGAGAATGATGAAGCAAGTTTTCCATGGTTTAGTACATGAAAAATATACATATACCAATCTTGAGGTTACATCCAGTTTTAAAGCAAAGTGTGTGGAAAAAGCCACTAAATCTTTTATAATTGCTATCATAAATAATAATAATAAAACAAGGTCATTTTAACATTGACTTTCATGTATTTTTCAATTAATTTTCCCCTGATTTCATGTTTCCTTCCCAGGTTCAGCCCAGACTCTAAATACCTTGCTGTAGCATCTGACGATGGCAGCGTTGATTTCTATGACATCAGCGCAGGGTCTGCACTATCAAGGGCTGGCTTCTGTAAAGGTATCTCAAGCTTCGTAGTGCAAATAGACTTCTCAGCTGACAGCAAATATATACAGGTATGTAGCATAGCTATGGCACTCTACCTATGTACCGTAACTTATGTAGGCATTTATAAGAGTGGCAAGTGGAGACGAAAGGTGGGCATAATTATGTTCAAATCCTTTATGCTTATGCCATTTCATTTTGTTGTTTTTGTTGTTTTCCTTTTTTGTTTTTGTTTGTTTTTGTTTTTGTTTTTAACGGCAGTCTACCATGTCATATGTTGCATTTCATATAATGTCAGTAGAGGAAAATATTTCAGAAGATTTTGTCATGTTATATAGTGCATTTAAGTGATATTTTGGTTGTAGTAGCTGATGTCATGTTTACAGAGAATTTATTTATTTTATGTGATTTTTAATGCTATATAATGGTTTTGGAGACAGTGTACCAAATCACTTGTGAACAAGGGTTTAATCGTCCTGATATTGCCCAATCAAAATCCAATGATATTCTCTGTTTTGTGAGAGAAGCCTTCTCATTGGTTAATGTAGAAGATTATGTTTTTGACCCAGAAACTTTTTGTCAGATGATTAACTCGTTGAATACTAAGCCTGAGAATTCTTGGGCGGAAGTCTATGCAAAATGCATGATTTAATGAAATTAAATCATGTTCAACAGATTAAGACTTCATGGTCACAGAAACCATAGATGCTAATGAATATTTTGGCAATGACCCAAACAGTACAATGCAGCAAATGGAATTAACGACGAGTGGTTAAATCAAGAAATAACTGAGAAAGAAGCTCTACAAGAGTCTTCATGTAGCCTTACAAATATTATGTCATCACTATATTTATACATACAATGCTCACAATATCAAACACACTTCTTGAAGAAATCCTTTGTGAAGCACCTGAAAACTCGACCTTTCATCAACATTCAATTAATTGGGAAAGCAGAGCTATGGCCAATCCGGTTAAGCCTTTGTACGTGATGACCTATTCTCTTAGTTAAATTGAATTTTGCCTGAAGGTCGAGTCTTTTAGTGCTTCGCAAAGGATTTCTTCAGGAAGTGCGTTTGATGTTGTGAGCATTGTTTATATATATATATATATATATATATATATATATAGTGATGACACATTATTCGTAAAGCTATATGAAGACTCTTGTAGTGCTTCATTAGGAGTGTCGCGGCCGAGTGGTTTCAGGCGCTCGACTGGAAATGCAAAGGTTGAGGGTTCGAATCCCGACACGGCACTAATATCCTTTGGCAAGATATTAACCTGCACTTGCTACTCTCCACCCAGTTGTTAAATGGGTGTCCGACTATCCGGTAGGATGCGACGGTCATTGTTGGTCAAACAGTTTTTGAGCGTCAAGTAATGCCTGGCTGGAATGCTCCCTGGGGAGTGGAGATGTGTGCGGGCAAGTATTGAATCCAATGACCAGGGTAATGGTATATCTGTAAAGCGCTTTGAGACATTTGTATTAAGCGCTTTATAAAAGCGGAATATTATTATTCTTTCTCAGTTATTTCTTGATTTAATCACTTGTCAGTTTGACATTGATGGACCCTATTTCTGTCAATCAGCGTGGGAGATTCTTTGTGCTCTGTTCTGTTGCTTTTTTATGGTATTGATGACCTTTAGCTATTTTCATTATCAGGATTCACTCTCATATGATTATTTGCTCCATATTCTAAATTTGTATTTGTTTTAGCCTTGTACCGTACTCATTATTTTTTATTCGCATAATGAACTAGGTTATAAAGATTCTTTATTTCTTTGATTCAAGTGTGAATTCATTCTAGGTGTATTTTTGGTCTCAGGAAAAGGAAATAACATTTGTAATTTTTAAAAGTACTACCGGTGACTGATTTGATTATTAAGATGTATCAAATATACAGCAAAATAGTCCTGTATAAGTAAAAGAAATGCATGACAGAGCTCTCAAATAGAATAAAGTAAGACAATTCAACCTAGCTGTTTCAAATCGTTTAAAAAAACTCAAAATAAACATATATTACATCCCATAAAAAAAAAAATTGTTTACTTTCAAACTGATTTCTTTGCTTAATGGGGAGGGGGGGGGGGGGTGCTCTTCCTGAGAAATATTAACATTTGTTATCTATTCTTGTTTATCAGATTATTGTACAGACTCCTTATCTAGTTTTTTTTTAAATGTATTTATCCTGAAATTTGAATAGTAAATTTATGCTCTATGATCCCCTCCCCCTCCCCCCATCCCATGGACCATTCTCCATTAAAAAAAAGTATATAAAAAATATTAACTTATATTTTGGAGTAATTGTCTTGATTGATAGTGTAAAATGGAATAAAACTGCTGACTACTTAAACCAAAGTGCAAGAAATTGAAATCACAGCATTTTAGTGATATCAATGTTAAAGAGCTATTATAATCAGCTGCCAAGATACATGCCTGGCAGAGCAAGTGTTTTAGCAGTTTCTTATTAATCTTTTATTTTCTGTACAGGCAATTCAGCCCCTTGCTTCTGGGTTGAACTTTGTTATGAGGCAATCATTATTTAGGAAAACCATTTTCTAGGCTTTTACAAGTTTTATGACTTTGGGTCATAGTCCATGGAAATGCCAACGTAATGAATGTATCACTCCCATTATTCATTGTGTATGATATTAAAGTTGTATTTTTTAGCAGATTGGCACTGAAAACTCTAAACGCAAACTTATTCATCATCATATTATCATTATCATCAAAATAATGATGGTCATGATGATCTAATGATAGTGATGAGGATGATAATGGCGATTTTGATGAAGAAAAATATGATGGTTATGATGATAACAACATCAACAACAACTTTGTCCATTTTCCATGGTATATATATATATATATGTTCACTGATTTATTTGATATCTGTTGCTTTGTATACACCAGATTGGTACGGGGACCTATCAACGCCTAGTCTACACAGTGCCTAGTGGTAAACCAGTAACAGAGAACTCTGATATTCAGAACATCACGTGGGCTACATGGACAAGGTATGTCCGTCCATTAATGTGTCTGGGAAATTAGTTAATATATGGAGACTGGAAATGTATTATTTTTTATCCTGATGTATGTTGCCAGACGAATAATGAAATAAATAGAAAGGGAGTCTAAGAAGATCATAATGTTCACCCATGTTTGTGAACATGTATCCCATTCTTGCCCCTTTCAATGCAAAGAGGAAGTCCACTTTTTAAATTGCTATTTAGAAATGTAATTAAAGATGAGAAAAGGACAATTTTTGTATTGCTAAAGTAAGACATAGTGTAACGCTTGAAAGGGGCTAAGAATAACTAAATATTTCTTAAGAAATTGTATAAATGTATTTGAACCAACCTGCCATTCATTGCTAACAGAGACCATTTTCTTTCATTTAAATATGTAGATGGTACTGTTTGTCAAGTTAGCTACTAATGTCTACAGAGGAAACAAAAAGCCAGTTCAGAGATACAATTTACATATAAGAGACCAATTTCATTTGTACTTAATTGTACTTAACCAGCTGAATAAAAAACAGTCAAGTGATAATGAAAATTATGTTATCATTCATTTGTGCACCAACGCTGCATTTTAGGGTATGCAGATTGAATTATTTTGTTCGAAAGTGGGACAAAAGCTATTCATGAAGCATCTCATCAGATTGTTTATGAACCACCAATGCTGCATTCCACATGGGGTACACAGGTGTAGTCATATATTTTTTTTTTCTTCAAATGAGGAAACAAAAAGTTATTCATGAAGCACCTCCATCATTTTGAGAATGATTATTCTAAAATGCAAAGAAAGAGACATTACAAACACCCTGTTTGAATCTCTGTGAATATTTAGGGTCATTTACACGACATGCTGACTACAAACTAGTCTGTTAGTTCTAGCTGGGTATCTTTGCCTGTATCAGTTCTTATCAGAATGTTTGACTTTGACTTTGCACTTTATTTTATTGCCAGTGTTGTTGGTCAAGAAGTGGTAGGAGTTTGGCCAAGGAATGCAGACAAGGCTGATGTGAACTGTTCCATTGTCAGTGGACAAGGCAATGCAATAGCAACAGGAGATGACTTTGGCTTTGTGAAGCTTTTCAATTTCCCATGTGCAGAGCTATATGTGAGTTTTGAGGTTATTCATATACTTTTGAATATTACTCAATACCGGGAACTATGAATTTTTAGGCTCCTAGTGCATGTGCATAAGAATAAATGAACAAGAAGTTTTCAATATAATAACTTATTTTTATTTACTATTTATTTATTTTTGTCCGCACATGCTTGATCTGTGAACACGGAAAGATAGTGAAATAATTGAGTATGCAAATTTTGTGGAAACTGCATTAAAGGTACAACTGCTGTAGCACTGAGGGTTGTTTCTTGGGGGATTACTAATCTAATTAATGTTTAATATTTTAAGGGGCATACTACCCTTGGAAAATTATTATTTGGTGCAGTAAAAAGGCAATTATCATTTGTGGGTTCTTTTGTTATCCATATCCATTTGAATAGTAATGATTTGAATGTAATCTATCATTCAGATGAAGGCTTTTTCCCCCTTTAGTGTGATTTGGTTTCTTTGACTGATTTAATATGATATCTAATTCCAGGCACCTCACAAGAAGTATGTTGGTCATTCTGCTCATGTGACCAATGTGAAGTTCATCTATGATGACAGACATCTTATCTCCACTGGAGGTGATGATTGCTGGTAAGTGCTTTCAACTCGTTACAGATTAATCCATTTAAGGTGTGATGTTGTTTTAATGTGCAAGTCCTTGATGGTAGCTTTAAACATTTCAACTGGCATAACATTGAAATCATTGCTAAGATGTGTGAGCTGTCATAAAGTGAAAAATTGCTGTACAACCCCCCCCCCCCCCCCCCAAAAAAAAAAAAATCATCATCATCATCATCATCCTTAAGAATTTGTTAAATGTTTTTTATGTAAGTGAAGTAGATACCGGTAGTGATGACTCAGCAGATTATGCACCAAGTCACAAACATGTATATAATTTTTGAAAAAAAGTTACTGGGACAAATTATTTATTCTGGTTTCTTTGTAATTGCTAATAATTATAAGAGAAATACTGTCAAAATTTATATTTTAAAATTCACTCATCTATTTTGAATTCCAAGAAACATAATCTTATTTTGTCCAAAGATATAAGATCTACTATTATGCCTTGGAAACATATATTACAATGGAAGGGTTAGGGTCAATATTTGATCATAGACCATGACTGATAGACTTGAGAATTAAAACAAAACCTAGAAGAAGAATGTGTTATATACTGATATTCAAATATACAATGTCATCCAATCTGAGACTGGAAACTAACATTATCTAATTTCTCTCATTTGCTTGATTCCATAGCTTGTTTGTGTGGAAATGTAGGTGAGATTTGATCACCAGTCTTGAGAAGCACGCTTCAATGCAGGGTTTCACGCCACATTCTGAAAGTCACTTTCAAAGGATGGGACATTATGACCAGGATTTCTTTCCATATTTTGTATATCAGAGATACCATGAACAGTTCAGTGATATTCAAGTCTCTATGTTGTCTTCATAGTTCTGAATGTGTAATGTTGCTTTAGACTTTCTTCCATTTGTAAATGGTGTTTGTGTTTATAGTTAGCAGGGATTATATCTTGTGCCAAAAGCATTGTCAAAAATCTATCGGAACATAAGCGAGTTTGGACTGGAGACAGATGTGAAATTTAAAACAATTTGTACTATATGTACTTCTGAAATCTTTTGTTTTTGTATAGCATGGTATGGTAGATATTTTCTTATTTGTTGGTCTCTTGTAATTATTTTCAACAGTATTTTGTTAATGAAAAAAAAGACTTACTTATACCACCCCCATCGTACCCCAATCCCTTCCCTAAATCCCTGGTCAAGACAACTGTAGGAATAGGACAAATAGGAAGATAAGGAGAAAATAAAAATTGAAGTTATGATTTTGGGATGTCTACCAGCTTATGTCAGCATTTGCACATGCATTATCATGGGTACCCATGTCTTACGCACACTTGATGCACTCAATTTTGTTTCTCCCTGACTCCTTGAATGGCATGTAAACTGTTGACTCTGTTGAGTGATGTCCATAATGACTGGATTACTCCATTTTATCAGTTTTATTTTCACTCATACTTTTTGACACATCGTGCACAATTTTATAGAAGAATACAGAAGACCCACATGCCTTATATATAAATTTGTATCATGCAGGAACATTGAAGGGATTCACACTCTTCCTAAAAAAATATCAGTAGACCGTAAATTGATATAATTAATTTTGTGATGAATTTGAACGTGAAAGAATATTCTGAAGTCTCCAACGTAGATCCATAAAACAATTGTGCCTTACCAAATCATTGATGGTGTAGACTAGAATGGCACAAGGCATTAAGGACATTCTTGATCACATGTGATTAGACAATCAAAGAAAAAAGGTAATGTGGTATTTGGATGCCATTGTGCAGCATAGAATGTATTCAGGTGTTATTTTTGGTTTCTTTTTTTTTCAGAACTCTCTTTTTTCTTTTTCTTGTCTTTCATAGACCATACCAAATCAATCTAGGTACAAGAGTATTTCATATTGAACAAATTATGTGTCGTTCTCATATGAATATTTTTGAAGTATTGATTTGAAACTCACTTTCATGAAAGAGCTTTTCAACTACTAGATGTATGAATTGAGTCAGAAAGTAACATTTGTTTGTTAATATGTCATAATGTACTTTCTACTGTCTTCTCTTTCATAAGACATTACCTCTCAAAATCGATGTGTTGAAGACTTATATTTGACGTATAAGTAAATTGAATCATTATGAAGCATAACTAACCTTTATGAACAATCTAAAATCAAGAAGAATAAATTAAGATATTGGTAGAGAAAATATAATTCATGTCCATTTAAATATAAAGTAAATGTACCAGCCTTTGTGTATGCTTATGGTAGTACCTTAGTCCCAGATTAACCACAAGTGCAATTGAACTGAAAGTCCTTGAAAGTAACACCAATGTAGGTAACATGATGATACGTTTGAAATTTTGTATCTTGTTTTGATGGAATATGAATTTAGAAGAATGCTTCATTTTAGAGTTGGATTAACAGTACAAGATTACCTATTCAATCAACATAAAAACAAAACATGATTCATAATATTTTGAACAGATGTGAAGGCGTGGTAAATATTATTGATAATGTTTGCAGTTGCAGAGATTTTCAACCTGATATTGGATGTGAAGCCATATACCTTCCAAGCAATCAAACCACAAAGTAACACCAATGTAGGTAACATGATGATACGTTTGAAATTTTGTATCTTGTTTTGATGGAATATGAATTTAGAAGAATGCTTCATTTTAGAGTTGGATTAACAGTACAAGATTACCTATTCAATCAACATAAAAACAAAACATGATTCATAATATTTTGAACAGATGTGAAGGCGTGGTAAATATTATTGATAATGTTTGCAGTTGCAGAGATTTTCAACCTGATATGGATGTGAAGCCATATACCTTCCAAGCAATCAAACCACAAATTACTTCTTTAAACTCGTTTTGTAAGTAGCTTTCAACGACTCTAGAAATCTTCAGAAGCATGTATAAGTAATGAGTAATACTAAATAAATACCCCCCCCCCCCCATGAACCCTCCTTTACATGTACCAGTTTTGACATGCACATTACATTCACATAACATTTGATCTGATATGCTCTGTCATAAATTATGTTATATTAATCATGGAACTGGATGGATCATTGACCAATTTTTCCTTTCAATGACCAGGACATTTGTCTTGTTTCTTTATTTACCCAAGGTCAATTCTACAGTATTCTAGCTCATTTTGCTCATTAGATATGGATTTTTCTTTTTAATTGGCAACCTGTGAAAACATATACAAAAATACTTGTAAAGCTTCTGTAATATGTCCAAGAACACTGTGTCTTGAGAAGTTTTAGTGAGCTTGACAATTTTAAGGGAAAAATGAATGAATTCAGCAATGTTTGTGTTACAAAGTGTAGGCCTTTGGTCATCAATTAATTGATTGTAATGAAAACAAGAGAGCTGATATATACATATCATTGTGACATTGCTGTTCACCTGAAACAGAATGGTATTATAGTTTTGTTAGAGTAGCAAATTACAGGTTAAAAGCAAAATGCAAATTTATTTGTTTGTACATGGAGATTGAATAGGCAATTTCTAAGATGAAGAAAATAGCCACTTTCTTCCAACATTGGCAATGTCTGTCAGTAAACAAGTCAAACATGCATACAAATATTCTCACCATTGTTATTTGAGAATTGTTATTTGCTTATGGCTTGCTAATTAGCATTAAAAAGAACATGGGTTCATGTAAATGCAACACAATTTCTACCTTGATCACTAAGAAGAGAAACTCATAAGCAAAGTTTACAACAAAACACTTGTGTTATGACTTAATTAATAATAAGCTGGAGGAAAATGCAAGTTTTGGGGTCAATTTTTGAACGTTGTGAACAATATAAAAGCGTAATGTTTTTCATTTTGTGTATTTTTGGTCTTGTTTTCAATGGAGAAACAACATGTACATTGACAATTTATTGTTTTTCGTTTTTTTTTAATGTGTTTACCTGTTTTGATATTTGACAGACTTTGCCTGTCTATTTCAGTGAAAGATACCTTTGGTGTTTTGAAGTAAATGTTTTACTGGTGAAAAGAATGAATCACTTGGAACCCTCTGTCTTGACTCGGTGTTCTTTTTATTTTTTATATTTTTCTTTACTTTTTGTAAATGTTGAATAATGTAGATACATTTTATATTTCAATTACATGTATACTGGCATAGAAATATAGCATATACTTAGATTGTAGAAGTACTTAATGATTATATATTGTGCTGCAAATAGAATAGGATTTCATTCTGTTTATTACTTGATTACTGTTCATATGCATTAAAACTGAAATGAGCTTTGTTGCAATTGTCAGCATTCCACACATTGTGAAATACTGATGTTCTAAACAAGCATTTGTTTAAAAAAAATTGTTCTGTAAAAAGGAAAGAAAAGGGTAAAATTTCAAGATTATGTTTCGATATATGGAGACCAATGTAATGCATCAAGATTTCACAATGATTCTGAAGCTTATATGCTGCTATGTCAGTATTGCTGCATTCAGTGTATTATTCTTGATTTCCTAGGCAATCAAACATGACATAGTTGTTGAAAGACACATTTTCTTATAATTCCTAATGGTTGATTCTATTCAGTCGTTAAAAATGATATTGCATAAAATGTCAAATTGAGCATCTTTGTAATACCCGATGTAAATTGTAGCAATTTATTGATTATCAGTGGTGTCATGTGTACAATCTGGACTTCATTAAGTCATATTAAATAACTTTTCATAAAAGAATGACTCTACTTTTTTCTTGTAATCTGTTCATGCAAGATTGTGTAACTGTTGTTCTAATAGATTTATCATTTGTTGTTGATCAAGGGAGATTTCAGGATATTTGAACCCTCCTTCCTTCATTATTGCTTAGTTTGATGCAGTTATTTTTCTGTAGTCATTTTACCCTGTTAGAGACTCATGGATATGTTGGGGAGCTTGTGACAGACTTTATTGTCTTGTAAGGAAATTGGAGGAGTCAACTTTCATGTAAATGAATACATTATGATAAATATTATACTTTACATGGCATGATATTACACAAATAATAGGAATATAATCTATAACTACTCGAGACTTCTCTGGATAAAAAATAACAGACTTCTGTAGATACAGACAAAGTATATATTACTTTGGTAAATAGAATCAATGTTTTATTCAAAATAACTTTTCCATTATGAAAAAGTTGCACACATCATAACCTACATCATAATCTTCAAACCAGCATTGTATGCGGCACAATCTAAATAATTATGATAAAAGCAAAAGCAAATTGAATAGCACAATATAAAATTTTGCAGTATGAAGTAAGCAAGACTTTGGATATTTCAGTTGCATTACAAAAACTAAATTCCATACAAATTAATTGAATACTGTTTGAAATATCAAACCTATGATGCCACTCAATTTCTAGAAAGAATCAAACTTTCCAAGACGAATTTCCAATCACAGTGCTATTTAAAACACTATCCCTTTAAATAATATCCACACGATTCATGAACCCATTTCTATAAAAGAACTGCAAGTGATATTTGGATGATTGACATATTTGATACCAGAAATTGTAATTTACTAGCCCAATAAATATTGTGCATTTTCATAATATTTCCCTTTAATTTCTCATGAATCAAAAAACATTTCTAGGGAGAAGACTAATAAATTGTTGTCCCTATTCACCCCATTTTATACTACATTTTTTACATCAGAAGCACAAATAACCTCTTTCGCCACAACTAAATATTGTTACTTGTCACAGCAGTACACTATTCCATGCAGAAATTGACACAGTATTGCTTTGGTACTTTGCTTCTTTTTTTTCTTGATGTATCATTACCAAAAGAATGAGGGCCCCTAAGTCACAGAGTCGTGTATTTGTTTACAACAATGACTCATAAGCTATTTATGTGAATCTGAAATCAAATTGTATTTTGCTTCATGTAAAAAAACAAGACATTGTTTATCCCAATTACCTTGTAGTGTTTTGGGTTTAATGAAGGTTTGTAAACTAATGAATGACCATTAGGTTGTTTTCATCAACAAGCAGTGTTATAAAATAAATTAACAAAATGAATCCTTCATTCCTGTCAAAAACACGTACAGTGTAATCAAAGGATACTCCAAATTCATTGAATTCTTAATCTCTGTCAAAAACACCTAATCATGGAATAATCTGGGGAAAAAATGATAGCAACTCTCTAGCAAACAAAATCTACTTAACTGACTGAATTTCTACTTATTCCCCAAAATGTTGCATTTTATAAACCTCTGAAAATATCCAACTCTACATATGCAATGTTAATACTGTAACTTACTGTTACATCAAACTATAGGCCTATATAAAAAGCAATTAGTGAGAAAAAATAAATACATTTGCTTGCATAATACAGATAATGTGACTATATACTGAAAGATATATCATATACACTGTAAATGTGCAATATAAAAATTGACACACAAATGTAATACTAGTAGTAGCAGATACTGATCTAGATTTTGAGATTTGTTTGTTTTATGCAATTTCTTTACTTAAATCGAGTGAAATGAGACATCACCTTGTCCTTGATCACCAAAACTTCACATAAAAATTCTTTTTCAAGTTACACTTTCCATTTGATTTTCTATTTTGCTCGATTACAAAGTTGCAACTGCCTCTTTTACACCATGATATATTAGTAGAGTATGCTGGCTATGGCGCTTTGCCGGTAATGCTTATGCACTTTCCCCCTCTTTTATAAGACCAATGGCGAACGATTTGGTGGAAATGCTTTCTCAATATTACTGGCATAATACAGAGTAATATCAAGGAACTAATCTCATAAGTCTAGCTCAAAGTATGATACCATGATTAGTAAAATAAACCATCCTACCCCAAGAAAATACTCTCAGTCGGTAGAAAAAATCCTGTGGACTGCTGTTCATCTATGATCTCCATGATAGCAGTACAGCTTTTTTAAATATCAGCATTTCATGATCTAAAACTCTTCCCTTTTAATAGGCAAGATGGTTCTGAAGGTAAATCAGACATCCAGTGAATGATTTGATGCTGATGATATGATGGCTTCAACCTGAGCATCTCTCTCTTTCTTCATTTTATGCAGTTCAGACAGCATGTGTTCCAGTGGATCAGGGGGTCTGTGATACACAATTTCAGCCGTTAGTTTCTGAAAAATAAGACAATAAATTTCAAGTTTTGAAAGAAGAAATTTGATGCGAATACAGACACTTCATTAAAATCAAAATAGGCAAATAATGAAATCATTTATGGATTGGAAACTATCTATACATGTAAAAGCCTTATCATCGAGTACCAAATCTCATAAGTTACATCAAGTCTATATGAATTAGCCTACCACTTCAACTGCGATGGACTCGCTGATCTCCGAAAAGCGGAGGGACAACAACAGAGAGAGAGAGAATACTAACTACATTCATCCTAAATGATATGGAGTGGTGATGGGAGAAAAGGATGCATTTAAGATTTTTTTCTCCATTTATTAGCTACTAGCTAGTAAACTTTAAAAAACCCATAAGGGCTCAAATCCTGGCTTTTTTATGGTATGTACATTGTGTAGGTCTTTTGTTAGTGGATTGCTATATAACTAGTTAGTAGTATACCAGTAAATATTGCAAGACAATATTGCACACATATCTCTTGCTAGAATGGTAAATAATTAGCCAGACTCTCCAGCTCCAGGGAAATTTAAATCTTGTTGTTGAGCCAGAGCCTCATGAGCTTCTAGTATGAATTTTGATATTTCCACTAAGCACCTGAATAGATTCTCTATATTTTGTAAATAGTGGAGTCATTTCAAGGAAAATCCACATCATTGTCACCATCTTTATAACTATAAAGTCATGTAAAACTGATTCTTAGTTTATCATTTGTATATTTTCAAAAATGAGGAAGAGGGATTCTGTGTTTCAATGTCCCATCAGGAACCAAATATTTAAGGTAAAGAAAGCTGCCTATTTTTATGTTGACCGTTATCTCTATCAGCAGAAATCTTCATAATTTGTATTGTTTGTTTTTTTTGGACTGTCCTGGTTTTTCAAGCATCAGAAGTAGAACTGTCATGCACTGCTTTTTATTCTAATTTCTATATCAACAGTCAAGACTACAATTTTTTTTTGGCTAAATGCGGAACAGAAACTGACATTGCGCAGGGTTTAACTACCTGGAATATCTGCATAACTTTGTATTTCTCCATGTAGTTGACTGCTCGCATGTATGGATCCTCTGGTGGTGCCATGTATTCAACATCATCTCCCAAGTCATATGGAAGTTGATCTAGTCTATCACTCAGAGTGTCTGGCTGTAAGGCTTCATTGAAGCCGTCCCCTTCTTCTTCCCTATCATTGACACTACCTGGCAATAGAGTATCAGATACAGCTTTCGTAATAGAACGTTCAACTTCTTGAAGGCTGCCTGAAGAAAGGCCAGGTTCTGGAGCAGTTGAAGGACGTAAATCCTCGGCTACAAGTGTGGCTGGCGCCGGGCTAGTTGCGGCGGGATCCTCGACTATGTCCCTGCTCGCTCCACCGACACCGTCCTGCTCAGTGGTTTCATTTGTGGAATCGACAACTTGGTCGCTGGAATCTTTCTCGGCATCTTCTTGCACAAAATTTCCTTCAGTTAATAAAACAGGTTGATCATCTGAATCCGCCATTACGAAAATCGTAGACACGACAAATTAAACAATATTTTGATATCAATCAATCACCGTACGGATATAGTTTGTGTACATCATGCCCAGGATACGACCTCGCCTTAACCTTCATGAGCAGTTTCATTCTTTAGGGGTATTTATTACAAAGTGACTAATTCAAATTAAAAACTTCGTACTAATATTCTCAGACTTTAACACTTTTATAAAAAAAGAAGCTATTTTAGATAAACTGCATTTTTATTTGTTTATAAAAGATCATTATTTCCAATAAATCACTAATATTTTCCTTGTGACCCCTACAAATAATGAACGAGTCCACATATTGATTGCCCTGGCTGGTGCATGTTGTATGCAATGGCTACATGGAATCAAAACCGCTACTTCATTGTCATTGACAATAATGCTCACGGCCTTTGGTGTGTCGATTTGGAAATATATGGGGGCATTTGTATTTATCACAAATTTATCTTATACATTTTATAACTAGGAACGAGACAGACAGACAACAGGGGCGTCGCCAAAGGGGGGAAGTGGGGGGGGGGGGGTGCGACACCCCCCACCTGTCAGGATATTGTCGGTAAAATTGCGCTGCCGTCGGGGAAAAGAGAAAAGGGGGAGGGAAAAAAAGAGAGGGAAAAAAAGAGAGGGAAAAAAAGAGAGGGGAAGGGAAAGAAAAGAAAAAAAGAAATGGAAAAGAAAAGAAAGAAAGGAAAAGAAAGGAAAGAAAGGAAAAGAAAGGAAAGAAAAGAGAAGAAAGAAAGAGAAAAAAGAAAAAGAGGGGGAGAGGAAAGAAAGGAAAGAAAGGAAAAGAAAGAAAAGAAAGAAAAGGAAAAAAAGAAGAAAAAAGATTGAAAGGGAAACAAAAGAAACGGGGGATGAAAGAGAGGAGAGAGAGGGGATCTAAGAGTCTGAGAGAGGAGGAGTGGGAGTAAAAGAGAAAAAGGGGGTTGTTGGGTGGAGTCGTCTCGTCGAGGGAGCAAGAAAGACACGGGTAAATATGTTGCTGTGTCGGGTCAGCTGTGTCGGTATTCTTGCTCGATCCTCATCAATGCATAAGTTTGAAGTCGGTGAGATGTATATTGTCGGTCGGCCGACAAGTTTTTTTCCCATAGGGTTACGAACTGCGACTTCTTATCCGCTGTGACGACTTCGAGAGTGACTACAACTACAATACTTGTATTTTCTCGAAGTTTCACTTTCCTATAATCCCGCCCCCCCCCCCCCCCCACTCAGGGTTCGAAATGACCGCATGCGTGTTGCCAAAATGTCCGGTAAAGGGGTACTTTTCGTGCGACAAAGTCCGGCCCGAGAATTGTAAAAAAAGGGGTGCATTTGACTTTTCACCCGGAGATTTCTTTAAAAAGGGGGTGTTTTTTTTCTTTTTCTCTCTCATCTCATCTCAAAAGTCGAAAACGGTACAACGAATCGTGTTCTTTCTCTAATGATATGAGGAAACGTCAAAGCTTTCGCGCTTCGCGTGAGAGGGGGAAATTGAATTCAGATGAATAGGGCTTATTAAGAGTCGAAAACGGTACGACGAATCGTCTTCTTTCTCTAATAATTTAATGAAACGTCAAAACTTCCGCGCTTCGCGCGGGAGGGGGAAGCTTCATTCAGATTAGGATTAAGAGTCGAGAACAGTACACCGAATCGTCTGCTTTTTCTCATAATTTAATGAAACGTCAAAGCTTCCGCGCTTTGCGCGGGGGGAATACAAACCGTTGAGAATGGTACAGCAAATCGTCTTCTTTTTTTATAATAATTTAATGAAACGTCAAAGCTTTCGCGCTTCGCGCGGGAGGGGGGGGGGGGGACTTCATTCAGCCTAGAATTACCAGTCGAAAACGGTCGTCTTCTTTTCCTAATAATTTAAGGAAACGTCTAAACTTCCGCGCTTCCCGCGAAAGGCTCACCACCCACACCCCCTTATGAGCGCGCTTTTAAGTGATTCTCTTGCTCACTACCGCCCCTCCCTAAAATAAGATCCTAGCTCCGCGCCTGCATTAAAATATATAGCTATGATGCTGACTAAATTTAAGAAATAATTCGTCGAGGAAAATGACCATTTTGCGCATATGCAAGTACTATAGATAGTCCATAGGAAAAACAATTTAGCCTTCGGCCCCAGGTTTATAGGGTTGACTTTGTAGATATTGGAAATTTAATTTTGTCGGTAATTGGTGGCTACTTTTGTCGGTAATCGTTGGCCTCTACACCCCCCCCCCCCCCCACTGAAAAAGGTCTAGCGACGCCCCTGACAGACAGTCAACCGAATCAAGAAGTACCCCATAAGCGGGCTTTGGATTTCTGATTTTGGGGTACCAGGGAGATGAGATAGGCATGTGTTGACACAGAAACTGAATCTAAAAAAATGCAATCAATTCCTGCAATATTTTTGACTAATCAGTTTGATTGAAGTATACAAATTTTTAATATCTGACCAAAATGTTAAAGCTCTGCCCGGAGATAATAATGACAAACGCTGAGAAGCCTTTTTTTTTTTTTTTTTTTTTTTGGGGGGGGGGGGGGGGTATTTTACTGAGTACTTGGGGGGGGGGGTGTATTGGCCCCTTATGGTATCCCACATAGAATCACAACGTGCATGGACAGACATTACAACCATGATATAGGTAGTGGATTGTTATTCAAGGTGGTAGGGGCAGGCGTCTACTTTTGGTTTAAATTAATGGTTCGATGGCCTTAGCATATATTGTGTATATTGGCTCCTTTAACAGAATATACATGGATCTATATAGGCCTATCCAGAAAGTGATGGGGATGGGTCTCGGCAGCCTGTCATCACAAAGAGAATGGATTTTTTTTCTTCTTCTGAGCCTTCAAACAACTTGAAGGCTTGAGTGCTGGCCCCGGGAAAGGCCCGCCCCCTCCTATATCGTGAATACACATTTTTTTCATGACGTTTCTGTCGTGCTTTATGCAGGAAGATATGCTTCCTGCTTTATGGAAGCATTTTTATCTTACAAAGTAATCGTTTTGTAATGCACTAATATCCTTTGGCAAGATATTAACCTGCACTTGCTACTCTCCACTCGGGTGTCAAATGGGTACCCAGTAGGATCGATGCGACCGTCATTGTTGGTCAAACAGTTTTTGAGCGTCCGACACCTGGCTGGAATGCTCCGCAGGGAGTGGAGATTGTGCACACAGTGTGTGCGGGCAAGCACTGAATCCAATGAACGGGGTAATAGTATATTTGTAAAGCGCTTAGAGACATTTGTATTAAGCGCTATATAAAAATTAAATATTATTATTATGAAATTACATGGTGTATTACATTTCAGGTAAAGTAGGCCTATACAAAGTACGATAAGATTATTATCATTATCATAATTAACAATCATAACAGGTGCTTAGAAATAACATTCTCTCTGCTTTTATGCCATTAATCATAAGTTGTGTAATATTGAACCGCGGTTATGATGTCAAATTTTAATTGGTTCTTAAGTCACTCGGAGTTTTTTGATCACTGGCCGTAACGAATCGGTCAATGATGTGAGTGTGTGTCAAGGTCTATTGGTATGACGGTCCCCGGCCCCCTACCCCTCTCCTTCGATCTCCTAATAAGGAATACTTTCGATAATCTTCTCGAACTATGTGCAGTGGCTTCAGGGTGTTGGGGAGGGGGACTCCAACTATCCCCATAAACCCTAAATTATTGAGGTGGGTGACAATTCTTTTTTTGGGTGGTGCGGGCGGGGTGGGAATCGTCGGGTGTCGCTTCATAACCTGTACAAAATATGTCACTAATCAGAACACATTTTCGCTACCCATAATCTTAATCCTATACCTATAAACCTAACAAGAAGCACAGTCGCAACTCAAGCCCAAGCCGTGTCATGCTTGCTTCTTTCAGAGAAATAGCAAGGATTTTTAGTCAGTTGGAGAGGGGCACTGGGGATCATCAGTCTTGTTTATAGGCCGGGGGGGGGGTCCACAATTTAAAAAACAGATGAATCCTGGCCAGCCTTCCCGATCGGAAAGGGGTGTTTTAATTTCTTAAGGTTAAGGGTCGTTTTTTATATCTTTGTTTGAATGGGGTCCTCGTCCCTTTTGCCCCACGGATCCGTGATCATGGGATCATTTTGCTCATGGGATCATTTTGCTCGGTTGACAAACCCATTTTTAAAACAATCTACCTTTTCTGTTTTACAAGGAAGTGAACTATGAGTGTAATTTTGACATTTTTTCAAGGCAGTGGCTTTCACTGATTATCAGTGGTGTATTATAACCATAGAAACTTACCCAGTGTATTCACTAGCGGATCCAGGGGAACCTCCCCCCCCCCCCCCCCCCATTTTTTTGTTGTAATGGGTACTCCTTGTTGAAACGCATGCACGGTAGGCCGAGTATTGTTTATCATCATCAGCATCATTCCTTTTTTAAACGTAGGGGCCTATCATTATCATTATACCTTTATTTTAAGGGTTAATGTAAAATATGTTTGTATCATTGATCATTACAATTTCTTACACCTTTCTAAACAAAACAGCGCTTTTATAATACCTAAGCACCTTTTCAAGGTCCACAAGGATGATGTGTTGTACTGGTACCTAACCGTGATGATATTTTGTTTTTTTCTCCTAGGCTGCAGCTGTTGAGTCGTTATAACATGTCGCCTCTATCACAAATTTCATGTTAACCTCGCTCTGTTGAAGCTATAATAACACGTAATTATGACTGGCCGAAAACGTGACAAAATGGGAAAGTGACCGCTAGTCCCAGTATGATACCGGCTCACTCTTGCATAACGGTCACTCAAAAGCGGAACGGTCATTAACAGCGAATTAAGGACTTTGCCGCATTGCAGCATCCTGAAGTGCCGAAGTCATTAAGGACTATTTTGTCATTTTCAGTGTAATTGCGACAAACATTGTCGCCATCTCCTCTCACTGGAACAAAAAACAGAGACTAATAAAATGGATGAAAATAATTGTCTGACTATGGAAGTCAATGAACCCAGCATATCTAAACGTGAAGCCAGTGTGGTGCGGGAAATGGGGATTGTCATGGGATTTTCACAGATCCTATAACATCATGCCGTCTAAAAATCAAATTAAAAAAACTAAAAGAGAACTGTAGATCCTTTTTTGTTGTGCTTGCTTTTTGTAGTTCTGAGACACGTGCCACTTTATAGCTTATACGAAATGTAGAGTGACTTGCTGCCTGTGCTTCTATATTATAATAATATCAATTGATTTTTTTTTTTAGAATCAGAAAAGTTTGATAATTTTTCTCTGATCCGAAACAAATTCACACATCATATTCCGAAATGAGAAATATGCCATTTTATTTACATAATCTAGGATTGCAATGAAAAGGAGAGAAAAATGAAGAAAAAAAAACCCCAACCTGTCAAGATAGATATTTGTACAACTTAGAGCCGGAGGAGGGGAGTGGGGGTACTGACTAAACTACTGATGCCCCACTTCTTGAATGCAAATCTTTGAAAAAAGATTGTTTATGAAGAACAATGCACAAAGGCCTTTATCATAATGCAAAACTCGGCCCGAAACCAAACCCATCAGTCGTAAATTTCTCGCTATGAAAGGTCTCCACATGTCTTGATTGGAATTCAGTGTATAATTAAACGACCAACTCATATAGACACTAAATGAAATATGTATTTTATGTGTATAATATTAATTTATCCTCAAGTTTTTTAAGAGCGCTGAGATATCGTCTCCAGTCTCCTAAACTTGTACTGTGAAATAGAAGAAGATTGAAACTGTAACTGCTAAAACGATTACAGTCTGCGGACCAGACATTATGCTCATGCGCATCGATGAATGCAGCTATAATATCCGATAATTAATTCGGGATTTCAGAGAAATGTTGATTTTTCTGTTGTATGCATGGAGTTTTATAGTAGTATCCGACAGTGCCTCTCTTCTTCTTTTTCTTCTGCTTCTTCTTCTGCTTCGATCTCCTCCTTCGTCTTCATCATAATCATCATCATCATCATCATCATCATCATCGTCATCGTCACCACCATCATCATCATCACCGTCTTCTTCTTCTACTTCTTCTTCTTCTTCGTCTACTTCTTCTTCCTATTCATCTTGCAGGGATATCAACAGTACTTTCTAGTTTCTAACATTTTGCGAGTGAGAGTGTGAGTCAAAAGTGCGAGCAATAAATTTGACACTTTTTATGGTGACAATTAATGTCGGTTAGGCCTACTGCATCATTATATGTATTTGAGGAGTAATAATAACATGATCACGAAGCCTTAAAAACATTAAATCGAGCCGGAAATGTGTGGGTGTGCGTAGTCAGCTCTTGAAATGGAATAAGGCCTATTATTATCCGAACATAGTTTCTGTAAGCAATGTAGTAGTTTATTGAAATTCACCTGATTTGATTTTAAAAATCTTCTTCTCCTTCTTCAAAACTTTAATAACTTTAATCTGCCTGCTTCAGATTTGAAGATTCTTGCAGACACAATCATGGAGAAGTCCCAACCCATAGACTAGCGAGCACCCCTCCACATCCCTGCCTCGATCACATGCCAAACGATGATATTGCATCTCGTTCATGATCATAATGGCATTGTATCATAACATCAAGTTACTGAAAACAAATAAAATTCAAACATTCTTCCATAATATCGAAGTCAATTTGATATTTTCTTTCAACCTCTATCCTTTGTGTAGTGTTTTAGAGCATAATAATAAAATACAATGTACAAAGCAAGGAGGCCTTCTCGATTGCAACCCGACAAAAACGGACAAAAACTTGCAGCAGACGATTATCCGTGATAGCCTATAGCTAGGCACACATCTCTTACTTATTGAAGAAACATTTGTACTTATTTCTGCATGTAATCCTTTATTATTTCATTATTTATAATAGGATATAAATATATTTTGCACTGTACATTTAAATTTCATTCAAATCCTAGAAATCAATCATCTTCAATATATTGACAAATTCATATATTTTTTAATAACCTGTTCAGACTGGGAGAAAGGTTACGCTTCAAATCTTTCCATTTTCGAGAATAAAGATATCAATGTCATATTATGCAGTGTCTAAGGCTTAAACACATTCTTCAGGCATGCAAGTCATCAGCAAGGATACATAAACAACGTGCTAAAAGTGGTAAGATATTGTTTTTAGTGACGACATCAGTCTATGCAGTATTTCTCCAAAGACTATCAGCTATTGTCCTATGTGTAGTCCCATACCTTGTTTTGTGTGTACGTCAATGCGATACCATCAGCAGCAGTGTTTATTCCTTTGTGGGAAGGGGGGGGGGGGGTTAAAATGATTCCCCCCCTTTTTTTTTGAGTTACTGCTCAAGATACATGTGTTTTATTTCTTAGTGTGACAACCTGGTGGCTATTACTTAGCATTGATTTTAAACAATTGGTGTTGTTTATTAGACTAGACTATTATGATTTTAATTAAGGATTTAACAACAAAAATATTTTGTCTTTTGTCATTGATGATCTCCTCCATGTGCTACTTGTACTTGTAGAAGAGGGATTTAATGAAGTCAGAGGTAGTCTCAGCGGAACATTTCCCTCAATGAAATATACTTGTTTTTTGGTCTATCCTCCAAGTAGCCACTAAAAATTTGTTATCCCCAATAACAATATAGATCTATAAACCTAGAGGCTAGACTATTTCGGGATTGATTAAAATGTGAAAAATTAAATAATATATTTTTTCAAAAAAAACATAAGCATATTTCATCTTTTTTTAAATTGAAGGTCAAGCAAGCGACATGGGGATGAAGTCTTATTGGGATGCATTCTACCGTTCACGAAGGCCAAGAGACCTTGGAGATTCCAACTGTTTCGAATGGTTCTTTCCTTACTCCGAAACAAAGGATGTCTTTCAATCTGCATTTGCAAATGTTGCTGAAAATTTACCAGGCAATGACTTCAACTTGATACGTATAGCTGAGCTTGGTTGTGGTACATCAGAGCTTTCCATGGAACTGATACAGGATCATCAAAGCTCATGCTGCATTACTTGTGTGGATTTTTCTACAGCTGCCCTAGAACACAACCAAAAGAATGTGAAAAGTAATGCCAGGTTTCACGGATCAGTAGCTGGCCATCTTGCGTATGTTGCAGCCGATGTATGTCATCTTCCATTTTCAGAGAATTCCTTTGATTTAGTGTTTGAGAAAGGAACTATGGATGCTCTGCTGAAGAGTGAGAACACGAGACCAAAATCAGACCAATTCTTATTAGAAGCTATCAGAGTGCTGAGACCTGGTGGTATGTTTCTACAATTCTCTGATGAAGCACCTGAATTGAGACTAGATCTCCTTGAACGAATGAAAAGTCATGTATGGCAAAGAGAACCCAAACATATATCAGTTTCTTTTAAAAATATATCTCACAATGATGCCCTAGAATATTTTGTGTATACAGTTCAGTACGGTAAGATGTGACAATCTGGCACAAAGATTTAATGGTAGGTTGACTTATTGATCTTAAAATCTGAACCAAAATACTTTTCTTGATGTTTGTTTCCAGCCATCCTACCATATCCTTTTTTATCAGGGAAGCTAACTTGACAAATACTTATTGCTGTTTTTTTTCCAACCAATTTAGTTCTGTCATCATTTTTATATGTTGATGTCATCTTTAAACATTTATTTAAATGTAATTGCTTGTTTTTTATTCAATGTATTTTACAGAATTATACAAAGAAGGAATTGAATTGAATGAAGTGAATTGAATAGAACTCTCAACAATGACTCGGATATACGTGCCCCCCCCCCCCCAGGAAACAAATGGTCCCCTCAAACAACTACCTTATGGGTAATTAAATTAGTGGGCTAGGTAGTTGTGATTAGTAGTCCAAGGGATGGTTCTTTGTGTAAGTGGCAGAAAGATGTAGCATGCATGCATGCATGCCATGCCATGCCATCAACTTTCTGGTTATTGCTTTTAAGGTTTTGATACCAGTTGTACCATTTTAAAACAGGACACAGTTTTTTTTTTTACTTGGATGACTAATAAAGTGAAAATGGAAGGTACCTACCTAATTTGTATTAGTTCTGTATCAAAGAAGCACATATTATATATATTACCTGCACTCATACTGCTAAAGACCTTTTTAACACAATAGTGAACATCTGCATTTAGCAGAATGGTACGATGCAATTATGCTCTTCTGGTAGTCACGTGACAAGTTGTCATGGGGAAAATAGATGATGATGATGATGCTGATTATGTTGATGAAGATAATGATGATGATGACGGCAATAGTGATGTTGATGATGATGGTGATGAGAAAACTGATTGAAGAATAATAGATAGCGATGGTGATATACTATTGTGTCATAATGAATATCATCACCAAGTTGTGATAACATACAAAATTATCAAACAGGATATTGATATGCTTTATCAATCATATTGAAGACTTTTGAAAATTTTGCTGGACCACTATTTTACTTAACAAGATATTATTTGACGATTTAGACAATATGAATATTACTTTTAGTACAAAAGTTGTCATTTATGAGTTGGCACAAGCTAACGCCCAAAGACAAGATCTATGCATGTATTGATTGTGTATCTTTCAGGTTTTAAAATGAACTTGATGTGATGGAAATATCTTGAGAATTCATGTATATATTATTTTCATGTCTTAGAATTAAGCTTTAATTTATTGTATTTCTTGCAATCTGTGTACAAGACTGATAGGAATCCACCCTAGAGCAGAGCAGTGCAACTTGTTTTTATGTTATATGTTATGGATATGCATTTGCACCCCTTAGTGCACCTGCTCCGAGTTGAGTTTGAGCTGCCCCTGTCTGAGTTTTTTGTAAGACCGCCATCTCTTGACCTATCATGAATAGTTTTGTGACTGTTGTCCAATCTGACATTATTTTCAACCTGCCAGTAATTGGTTAGGTAAAATGATTATCAATTGTTAGTACAAATCGTGTTTGCATGAATGTTCTACTAAGTTTTGTTTTCAACAAAATACTGCCCAAATGAGAGATCCAAAACAAATCATTTTACAAATTGGTGGGTGAAGCTGTCCTGCTAAGAGTGAGTAAGACACCCATGCACTGTAGTAGTATAGAGCCACGCTTTTTTCTTCATAATCATTTTTAAAATAAAAATTAAGACAATGTTCTGAGTCTTTATCATCCCTCTGAATCCGTGTTGATGAAATCGTTTAATTGGGGAGAGAATCTGGCTTTGATTGATTTTTTTCTTCCACTTGGCACGGAAAAAAGCCATAATATACGTTACTGCTTGACAAAAATAGGATTTTGAAAATATGATCAATTAAAAAATGGTCTATGATTAACGGATCTAGAATTAGCAATAGGTCACTTTGAATGGGGGAAGTGTCAGGAAAAGGCCTTCGAGAAGGTATGACATTTAACTCAATAAAAAATAATTAGGACTTTCCTATCAAATCCGTGACCGTGAAGAAACCACAAATGACTGGTGATTCTTATATGATAATATCAATTGACCCATTCCGAAACATCTATCCCGGGAACAAAGTAATTGTCAGATAAAACCAGTGAAATTACAAACATTGCCAATCTTAATTAGTAGTTAGAGTTGTCTTTACGATGATAACGACTTAGCATGATCTTGATCCTCGTTACGTCACCCAGTGCACATGCGCAATAGAGACAAGAACGACGACCTGAAATGACCTTCCCTGGAGCAATTTCTATTTGTCTCTAATCGATTATAGACACTGGGTCATTTTTGGTCTTAGAAACTCGACCATCTGTGTCCCGGCACGTCTGCACAATATTGCGAGGAGGAGTGGTGTTCCATAATCAGTAATTACTCAAAGATAAGTCGGCAATGAAGTGGGCATATCCATGGCACGATGCTCTATATTATTGTCAAGAACAAAATGGGAAGAATGAGAGATAATTGGATTACTGCCGCCTCCAGCATTTTCTCTCATTGTTGGATGCTGTGGCTAAAAACGGGAGGGAGAATATAAGGATGATTTTGCAGGTAGTTTGTGACGATTCCTAATTACTCTCGACATTCAGATTAGGCGCTCCTCGCCTGGCTGAGCGGTCAAAGCGAGATAAAACAGGAAAATAAAGCTAGCATTTTTATGACGTATAATTACTTACCGCAGAAGGGTCAAGGAGAATGTGCAATAAAAACACTTCACATGTCAACAAAGAGAATTCCTTTTTCCTTCTTTTCGAAATTCTATACATCTTAGGTCACAACAAGATTACTATCAGTGTTTGTTCAATTAGAAATTATTTGATAAGTTTTTGAGAGAGTTCAAGTACAAGTTGATGGTATTACGAACCTTGGATTGTTTTGAGGTGATTATTGTTTGGAGTTATCTGAATGGACTCTTTGAACTAGATTAGACGATAGATGTGAGTAATGGACGCCAGACCGAAAATGAAAAAGAGAGAATATGTTTGGCCTTGCTACGAAATTAGGTCAGAGAAGGACAAAGACAGGCGAAGAGAAGAAAAACAAACACAAATAGTAGCTTTGTATACTTCTCACAACTCGTCTGGAACACAATATTGAGCAACATAACAAGCTAGAGATCAGACACGTATTTTTACATGTCAAGGACATGGAGTCATTCGTTCAACCCTGATTATTCTAGCTTCTTTTTCTATCTATCTGTCTACCTATGAATTATATGTATGTATTTATTCACCTTTCTAATATTTATTTATATATCTATCTATCTATTTATCTATCTACTTATCTATCCATCTGTCTGTCTTTGTATCTTTTAGGCAATTCTACCTGTTTTAAAATCTTTTATCTATCTATAGTACCTATCTATCTATTTATCTATGTAGGTCATGGAGTCATACATTCCATCCAGATCGTCCTATCTTGTATCTAACTTCGAGTGCAAAAGGAATTCTAGTTTTCATAATTCAGAAATGATGATACTGTTTTCGCAAGAATATCATACAATGATCGCTCTGTAATCATTGAAATTTTGAAATTTCACATAATATTCGGTGTCGACTGTTATCCGTCTCTGACAAATATACCGTGTTATTGCATTTGCTTCAAAAAATATTCACAGATTATAGCCTGACTTCATTTTGATAGCTGTAAATTGGATCGCAAACAAACGAGATATTTTAATTCCCCAAGGAGAACATTATATTTAGAGAAAAAGCAGATTTGTCCTGCTGGACAGAAAACCCGACACAACTGTGTTCTTTTTATTTTGTAAAGCTCATTATTATACGATATATTTAGATACCATTGATATATATATATATATATATATATATATATATATGAGAGAGAGAGAGAGAGAGAGAGAGAGAGAGAGAGAGAGAGAGAGAGAGAGAGATATATATATATATAGAGAGAGAGAGAGAGGGTGGGGAGGGAGAGAGAGATGGAGGAGAGAGCGAGCGAGAGGGGGGGGGGGGGGGGGGGGAGCAAGAGAGAAACTTCTCGTATCTATCCTATCCATGTAAGCGATGTAGATCATTACGATGATGATGATGATGAGAGAGAGAGATTTAAAGAGAAGAAAGAAATGAAGACGGTAAAACGCTGGATGTGCCATCTGTATTTATCATCTCGTATCAGAAGTATAGATGGAACCATCTTCCGTTTTCATTTCCAGTATTGCGTCTTAATTTCCACCCCAAGGGAATCTTATAGAAATGAGTTCCAAAATGATCAAGGACAATAATTATAACCTTTTGATTTGCAGAAGCCGGTGAGAGGTCAAAGAATCATATTTTGCCAGTCAAGATGATTCATTAACCTTGATAAAATATGATTGTATTCATTTGTTTTTGTGATACCTCTTCAATTGTTCTTTAGTCGAAGTTTAAACCACTTATTAATTTTGAACTTGTGCAAGTAAGTGTTCATATTCAGAAACATTCGGACATGAATCTCTCCACATCGTCAAGTTTAGTCTTTTCTCAAGAATTGTTGTTTATGAGAAAGAGGTAAATATAGATATATTATAGAAGGGTGAATATTAAGAAATATGAACAGGTACATAACAT